GCTTTAACAAGATTATTGATGATGTCCATGCAAGTTTCAATATGACCATGGTGAATCTAAATCCAGATTGAGACCACCCAATGCACAATGGGCTTTCAGCTGTATACCGTTACATGGCATATGGTCAGTGCATGCGGAGAATTCCTGTTCAACCCTTCTCTCATTAAGTTAAGCAGGTGACTTTGCTGAGTTTGGGTGCCTGCTTAAAGCTACAGCTACAGCTATAAAATACGTTGTTTCGGGTTAAGGAAGAGTTGTAAGTGATTAAAAACGTTGAGCACAGATGGTTTACATTTTAGGCAAATTACAAAATTCATGCGAGTTGAAAGTTTTAATTGCTAAAAATTATGGTAATATTTTTGGAATGAAGACCACGTGTCGTCTATACATCCATAGCATTTAGATTGTATTAAGTGTAGAAGTGGTAACGAATTAGATTTGCCAACGTCGTAATGCAATTATGATTAAAAATGTAGCCATTATGATCCGGTTAAGATTGTGTGAGAACGAGGGGTTGGAAGTAGATGAGCTGAGCAAAGGGGAAGTGAATTAACGGGTAATTGAGATATTTCCGGAAAGATATGAGCGCTCTGCGTCGGAAGAAGAGAGGAGCAAGAAGGTGTGCGAGGAAGCTGGAAGAGGAAGGAAGCCGGGCTGCAGTTGTAAACTGCCAATCGCACCGTTAACCGCATCGTTATAATTTTAACGAACCCCATCCCCTTTGCAAATTTCTAATTACGGTCCGTGTCAAGTGCATAACTAAAATTCCGTTTTAAATGTTTGCGTAAACATCCCCCAATTTCCATCAATTATTATCGAAACAAGAGGACGCCGAACTTCGGAGCGGCGCGACGACACAATCGTCGCCCGATTAAACAAGTGCTTCAATTTGGACATCGGCAATTGCAAACACACAAACAAACAAACAAATAAATAACAAGGGGTCGGGGCTGAAATGCTTCACTTGCAAAATGACCAAAAAGTTGCGTAGTTGCGCAATCAGAGCACCCTTCGCATGCTCGAAATCGTTCGATGGTTTTCAGGTTTGTTTTGATTTTCACGCAGGTCGCGTGCAGCTCTCGAATGGATTTTTTTTGGTATTCGTTGCGCGGAAATTAGAGCCTGAAATAAATGAATAAAATAAATAACGAGCGCAATTAGCAGTTTTAATTAAAACAATGCGCACTGCAACCGCTCGGAGACTCTCTCAATTTAATTGCAAATTAATCCGTCGTAATTGGGTCGCAGCGTTTTCTAAACTCTTGTCATTCGCATTGTATCATACCCAACAAGATTAGATCGTTTACTATGCGAGGAGCATTTATAGCTCGGAATTCATTTCTTGCACCGCAAAGGATGTTCAACTTTTACTTTGACTATTTTTATTTAATCTTTCTCCGAAATCGACATTTTTTTTCCTTTAAGATGATCCAAACTAATACAGACATTTCGCACATTATGTTATAAACAAACTACTTTTCATGTTGCATTCTGTTCCATTTGTAACCCACTTTGAGCAGTTATTATTATACTATCTAAGTTTACAATCCATTTGAACGTGATTCATTAAACGTAAAATTATGTTATTCTTTATCACGCATAACCCACTTTAACTCTAATAGTCTTACATATTCCAGCTTCTAACATTATACATCAACATAGTTTTTTTATTAACGGAACAATACATTAATAACACTATTTATTGTAAGAAATAATATTTCGAATACTTTGTGCAATACGATACATTGTTTGAAGCTGAAATCGATAAAATTGGATACTTTTTGCAATAATATCTGCGGAAGTTGCAATTGCCGGTATCTTAATTAAGTAATAATTGTTTTTATTACAAGATCCATTTTATAGCCGTACTTAGTTTAAAGATATAATCCCCTTAATATACAATAAAGTAACGTACTTAGAAAACAAAACTTTAAGCAAATTTTTATAGTAATCTGATATAACCAGTAATGTAAATAAACTCGTTTTTTTCTTCCGATGTGAAACCTGTTCATCGTTAAATATCTTTTAATAGCAATAGCTATTATCAATAAAGTTCAATCCAAACCAATTCTATTACAATATTATATTTCAATATATATATTAATTAACGTGAAATGAGATATAAAGGTCAGTAAGATGTACTAATTAGTACGTAAAATGTCCATTCAAGCTGCCCTGACAAACATGTTTCATATTACGAATTGTGTGGATGCAACATTACATTATTTGATTATTCTAAATCTGGTTGCAAATCAGTTAAGAAATAATATTATTTAGAAGCTTAGTCTTAGCTAGTTCGTGGTAACTTTGCGTGTATTGTGCGCACGCTTAATAATAGAATGATGAAGTAGTTGATTTTGTAGCGGGAGAAGATTAGGAAACTGGTAATAAATTTCGTGCTGAGAGAATGGCTCAATTCAAGCTTCGGGCTTTATCTGTTTGGATTTCTGGATTCCCTTTCCCTCCGGCTGCGCCCGAGTTAATGAGGTGAATAAAGTATGCTCGTCGCACAGCTAGACGACATACGAGTTCTAGCAGAAGAAGCAGGAATGCAGCAGAGCTTCCTGCCTCGGCTGCCCCCAAAAATAATAATAAACCGGGCGGCGGCAATTTCGTGTATAGTGACACGAATATTTCCAACGCGCAACAAAACAAATCAAAACTTATATATAGCCCTTTTTCACTATATTTAGTGCAGTGGCGTTTCAATTGCACGTGTCTGTCGCACCTTTACTTATATTTAAAGAATATTGCTCACCTTGCGTTTGTGATGAAGAGGTAAAGGCAATTGAAGAGATTTCGTATAACGTTGGAAGGAAAGTTATTGCACCCTAAAGTCAACAGCACAATTGGGTACTTAATAATCTGATGAAATATTAGAGCTATTAGGAGGTCAGTGCAGAAGAAATCTTTCGGGATAAATGGAGGAGTGATAGCGTCTGCATTTTCTTGGAAAGGGGTGGCTGTGCGAGACGAGAGATTCAGAGGCAATCGTTCGCAAAGATAAAACTGTGAAGAAAAAGAAGGGAAAAAAGAGAGAAAATGTGATCATGGGATAATCCAGGTGGATGATTCGATTTCACGCGGTAATTAGCGTATCAAAACTTGTAGTGGAATTGTCCTCGGTGCCGCCAATGCCACCGCCCGTCTGCGCCGGATTTATTGGGGGTGGTCGTTGCCATGGCGCGCACACACCACACACCACCCTCTCGGCTCACTCTCATCCCAATCTCTCTCGCTCTTTCTCTCTCTCTCCATTGTCCCCGAATCATCCCGCATTATGGGAATGGAGTGACTGCAGACTCTACCCTCGAGAGCAACGAAAGAAACCGGTAGTAGTTCCGAGGGTTCGTTCGCTGGTATCCAATGCGTCATCTGAATTTCGGGTTAATGCTCTGGATTTGCGGGAGGGAACAACAACAGGTGTTTAAATTACAGACGCGCAGATTAGAATTCTGTTCTAACTTCGATGTGTGGAAGCACGGTTCAGCGGATCCATTCTGCCGCTTCCGCTCTCCAGACTGCACTTCCATTTCCTACAACATTCTAATATACAATCTAATATCATTTGAAATTATTTCCATGGAAAGAACTGTCAATATCAAAAAAAGTTTTGTTACACTTCAAATACTTTAAACTAATTCGAAATTTAAAATTGTATAATGCAAAATTCACAGATTAATTTCTTTCATTGTAAACTGAATTTGTACATATTGTTAGGATGTACGTTGGGTCAGTTTTCAACGCATTCATTATTTAAAATTGCAAAATTCACATTTTATCTACAATCACCAAACTTTAGCATATGTTAGAACGAATGCTGCGTTTGTTATTATTCAGAAATGCAAAACCCAAATACGCAAAGTCTACATTTTTATTCTCTATGGAAACAACTGTCAATACCAAATTAACTTTTGCAATTTCCAGAACGTATGTTACTTTAGGAAGAACTTCAGAAATTCAAATCAGATATGTCTAATTCATAAATTAAAAATTCGAATGATCGAAGATCTTCTATACATTTGGAGTATTAATATATTATATGATTTATTTTAAATTGTCACTTTTACAACTCATCTACTTTCAACTAGAATGACAACCTATTTGATTAAATTTTACGACATTCGTTATTATTTTATACACATGTAAAACGTTATTTTTTTTTAAATAACTATTATTATTGAAAATGCTTTATTAACTTTAATAACTCTCGAATAGTGTCAATTGGATTGCTCAATATTTTATTTATGAACATTTTCATGCGCGACTACGATTCTAGGTCGTGCGCAGATTTCTGATTGATTTCAATTAATGTTAAAAACCTACGCGATTAAATGAAACGAAAAAATGTGAAGTTTATTGAAGATAGTGAGTCAACAATGAATCGTGATTAACGAAACTTCGCAGCTGGCAAACACCGATAGAACGACCAAGAATAATAAAATGAAGGTCATGCGCGCCATTTCCGCTATACTTACATAAAATTAATGTGCAACGCAATATAAGAATGTATCTGAAGCAAACGGATCAATATTGTTATTCTGTATTATTTTTTAAATCTTTAATCTCTGAGTAGACGTGTGGGAATTATGAATTATATTAAATACCTATTTAATATTTTTTTGCAAAAATATTAAATTTGTATGTTAAAAAAGATATACAATAATATATGAAATGAAAATTAGTTAGTTTACTGTAAATTTTAATAACATTGTTTTTTGAAACTGAAGTGTATTCATTAACTAAATACAGTTATTTTGAAGTTAAATTTTTTTACTAGTTTAGAAAATTGCTACTTATAATAATTTCTCGCATCTTAGATACGATTTATTATAAATACTTGTAAAATTCTAACAATGCATCACTTTAAGTATTAAATAGGGCGGAAAAATCTACATTGTAACGAAAAACAATCATTATGCGATTAATTTAATGCGATTAATATAAGTAGACTTTGAGTTGAAAAAGTTTTATCTTATTTTTTTTATTGTAATTTACAGAAGTGATCAGTTCTTGGAGCCCTATTTTCAAGGCTACTCCGATCGTCAGAGCCCTGGAATCGATGCACCTTCTCCGATTCCCAATGAATGCAGCAGAAATCTGTTCAATTTACCCAATCCGCCATCCCGCTCACCTTCGAGAGAATCTCTTGTGTCTTCTACGGGCGGTTCCGATGCAGGCAGCGAAGACAGCGGCGATACCGGTAAGAGGAGTCAATAAAATGATGTTGTTTTATGTACTTTAATGGTTTGTTCGATGTGCAGGGTATGGAGCAGCGTGCGATATTGGAATGGTGGAGCGTTTGAGACGCTCTCACCCGATATGGTTTCTGCCTGGAATTCAAAGAGCAGGAGCGTTTCATTTATTGCAAGGCAAAGAGGAGGGTTGCTTCGTTGTAAGACAATCCTCGCAAACGGACACGATGGCCCTTTCTGTCCGTTTGCCACCTGACAAAGGTCCATACATCGAGCACTATTTGATCCAAAACTCTGAAGGCCGCCTGGGTTTGGAGACGAGCGAAAACCGCTTCGAGGATATTCCTGCTCTTATCGCGCATTACGCGAACTGCTGTGATGAACTGCCGGTGCAGCTGGTGTTACCAAAAGCGATACGCGATGCGAAGAGCAGACAGAAGTTGTCATCGTTGGCATTATTAGGGCAGGAATTCTGGAGGTACAGTCCGCCCCCCTCGACTGCTTCCAGTCCAGATGCCGATTTAGTGCTCAATCTGAATCCTCTGATGAGCACTTTCAAAACGGCGGAACCATCGACGCCAGTAAATAAAGACTTAAAACCGTTGAGACCGAACACGTTGAACTTGTGCAACAGAAATGAAACGGGCAAGAGTGAACTGAAGAGTACTCCGTCTTTTAAGAATGACGGTAAACAACCACCGCCTCCACCGCCCAGATGGTCGAAACCTACGACTCCTCAGAACAACATCACTGTAACAACAACGTTTACCTTTTCCGTGAATCAAAATAGCCCGAAGAACGAAACTGCCAGCGACATTATTTGCGATCCCAAGCGCATGTCCCCAGAAGGCCAAACATCGACCATGTCTTCCAAGGGAAGTTTGAGACGAGTTCAAGAACAAATTCTCTCTCCCAGCGGTTCAGTATTATCCCCGAACTCGGATCCTAACAGTCTTCTATCACCAGACACCTTGTCACCGCTCACGAAAACAGCTCGTCAAAGTCGCCGCAAGCACAAACCATCTAAGCACTATCAAGAATCCGACATCCTAGATTCTCCAACGGTGTACTATAGGAGTACTGTTGGCGATAAGGTCAGCGATTACGAAGACGTCTGGAGCAACGAAAACAGCAGTTTCAAGTCGAAAGGCAACTTCGCTTCGCCCGATTTACTCCAGCACGTAATAAACAACAACAATAATGTGCTCAGTCCGACGGAGTCGTTCACAAACAGCAGCTGCAGCACACCCTTACCCAACAACCAAAGCCAAACGAGTCTTCATCAAAGCACAGCTCAAATACAGTCTCCGATTGTTGGAGAAATAGTTAAGACTTTAACTGCTGAAATACAATCATCTCCAAAACAAGGCAGCCCGTTCTATGCAGAACCTGCTGACGCTTTAGCTCAAGTGCCGCGACGTTTATTCAATAACAGAAACCCCTTGAGTCTTCAGCAACGGCACTCGAATCCGCCAGCTCTACACTCCCATGCCATACTTAGTTCCACTTTGGACAGAACTGAATCCTCGGAAATCAACGGTTAGTAAAACTCTAATAAACAAATAATTATATTCAATTTAATAATTCATATCGCATTGTCAGATATATCGTCTTCTGTGGATAATTTAAGCCCTAAACAAAGATTGATAAAGCGACCTGAATTGAAACCGGTAATGCCTCCATCGTTGAAACCGAGACCGAACGATTGGCAGCTCGACAACACTTGGAAATTTTTGGGTAAATACAAAGCAATTAGTCAATGTTTATCTTTTAATTTCATTGTGTTTTGGTCGCTCCCTATTGTTATTTAGGTAACGAATGTGATTTGAATATGGATTCGAGCGATTACGATTCGGATTGGGCAGCCACAATACCGAACGTCCCAATTACTGGACCCTTTTCACCAGGGGACTGCGATAATCGGCTCACCAGTATTCACGAAATGATCTCAAAACGGTAAACAATTCAATTTTTGCGATTTTGCTCTATTCATGCTAAAGGGCTTTAACCATTTTCAGGCAATCTACGGACGTTTCAACGACCGACGATGACATGTGTCGGATGTCCGCTTATGACAATGTAGACGATAAGAGGATGATGACAATACCTCGAGCGCCTCCTTCAGAAATTAGCGAGCTCACCGAGTTTTCAGATCCCTGGAATGAAAGCCACGGCGTCAATGGGGAGGTAAAATTTGCAATCATTGAATGATGAATATTACAAAATATTTATTCAATTGTTTTTATTGTTCGTTTCTCGTTTATCTTTAGACTGATGATAGTTTTTCGGATACTTACCATTACAATCGGCAACAACAACAACAACATAATCAGACACCGCCACAACGCTTAGCGTCCATAAACAGATCGAAGAGTTTCAAGGACCGATTGGATCCCTTGCTTTGTAAGTATAATGATGATGATTATGATGATGCACTCAAATCAAATACGAGTTGCGCTATTTGTTGAACAAATATAATGTGTATATGTTTTCAAAACAAAATTATCTATAATCCATGCTCGGTCGCTCAATTCCTCCCACCCGTCGTAACGTACGACACAAGCACAAGCTCTTTTCAAAACTACATAAAATTAGTCATAAGTAAATCAGTGCATTTGGAAATAATGTGCGAGCCAAGAAGCAAAAACAGATGGAAAAAAGTCTTCCAACAGTCGATATTTTTTTCTAAGAAAATCGGATCGTACTTGAAGAATATTTGGTGCTGTGCCTTCGGATGTTTTAACTGTTTCGGGATTTCAGCCGCGCCGAGACTGAACGCCCTTAGGAATCATCGCGATGCAACGGACGCAAAGACGGTCGTCGGAACGTCCATACGGAATTATGCTCTCAATTTGGCCCAGGATAAGAGGACAACCTTTGCTAAGAACATCGACAACTTCATAGCATGTACACACGACTCCAAGGAAACCAATCCTCAAGTAGTTATGAGAAACATGAGGCAGTTCATGTCCGGAATGAAAAACTACTTAGTTAAGCACGGCGAAAAGGGCTTCGATACCGAGGTCGAAAAGGAGCGCACAAAGGTATTTAAAAATTAATAATATTTTTTATTCATCAACACGTTACTAATTCTAATGTATTCATTTCAGTTAAAATCGACGGAATTTTTAAATTTAGATGCTATCCTCGAGGGAGTTCTCCATTTATTAGTAGTTAGCCCTCTAAAAGCACATCTTTACAAACTATTTAATGATTATTATACTAAAACTGGAGCTATAACTCTCTTATCAGAAAACATTCATTACGCAAGCACTAGGCCTACATCAGAACTGGCAATTAAGGTACGATTCATCAACTATGGCATCATATCACTAATTAAATATAATTATTTCAGCCGAAAATCTCTTTGCCCTCTGAATCAGCACTGCAGAAAATTAAGGAATACCTTTCTAGATTACAGTCGGCCGATTCACCTTTAGAGAAGCTGGAATACCTTTTAGCCGCTATTGCCGCAATCTTCAATTCTGTAAATACATTCACCATTATTTATTGAACATATTAGTAAAAATATTTTTTTAAAGGTGAAAACAACTCAAATCTCTGGAGCATCCGGAAGGACTGTAACATTAGGCGCAGACGATTTCTTGCCTCTGTTCGTTTGGGTTTTGGTTAAAACCAAGTTTGTGTCAGCTGAAATTGAAGCTGAATATATGTGGGGCTTGCTCCATCCTTCTCTTCTATCTGGAGAAGGCGGATACTACCTTACCACTCTTTCATCTGCCGTGCACGTACTTAAGAACTTCAAGGAAAGCATCGAAGAGAACGTTAAAAACAACCCTAAAACTGATGTTAGTATTAACGATTAAATTTAACGACTTGTTTATTTACATATTTCATTTGTTTGTAGTCTGTGTTGAAAGTTGTGGTTCCTGATGAATTGCACGGTTCAATTTTAACGAAGACTTTACCGGCTAGACCTCACATGACCACGAAGGAAGTATGTAAGATTATAGCTCACAAGGCGAGGATTACAAATCCTCAGGACTTTGCTCTCTACCGTCTGGTCGACGGTGAAGGTAATTTGCAATGCCTTCTATGATTAAAAAGGATTTGAAAATTAATTTATCTATTTTTCAGAAACGATGTTGGGTGATAATGAATGCCCTCAGGACTTCATGAAGGAAGGCAAACATGTGATGTTGGCATACAAACGGATCGACGCTAAGATCGCTTGGCCAAGGCAGCAACAATCAAACTGATTTTGAAACTAGTCATATTAATAATATTTTTGATATCAGTTTGCGTGAGGAAATGAAAAAGAAAAAAAAAGCGTCACTTTGTTTTCTATTAATAAACTAAAAATGAAAATTTAAAGGAGACGACAAAATAAACGTGTAAATAAATAACAAACAAAAAACAATGCAGATGATGAATTAATCGATAAGCATAAACTTTGTCAACTATAGCTCTTTTAAATACGAAACGTTTTTATTGCGATAAATGGTCTAATAGGTTTTGAAATTTGCCTGAAAATCTTAGACAATGAGTAATTTCAGAATCTATTATTTTGATTATCATGTAAACAGCGACGTATAGTGTATTTTTCCTCTGTTTATTTGTCCAGTTTTTATTAATTTCAAACTTTTTCAAGTGTAACTTTCATGTTGTTTTCTTTTTATACTATGAGCAGCTTAGCTGCAGAACAAGTTATTTTAAAAATTTCTTTCGTAATTTGTAACAGTAAACAAAGAAGGAAATTTTATTTTGTAATTATAATTTATTAAACTCTACTGTACTAAGAAGTATTATTGAATAAAATATATTCTTGAACGACATGAAAATTATGATTGATTGGCGTAGCGTGTTTTAATAACGCACCTAACGCCTATTACCACCTATTATAACCCAATACCGATAATCACTCTGACCGAGCTGCGAGCCATGGCAGATTACGGAGCGGAACTTTGTCCACCCGAATACAAACTGAACATTTTTTTAAATGCTTCGAAATACAGCGCGAGAACTCAGCAGATTCGCAAGAGATCGCAGCTGGATAAAAACGATGGGGATATCATTGATACACACGATCAATTTTATAGGGACCATAAATTACTCCTAACACTATTCAGGGTAAGTGTACCGGCTATAAAATAGCTATAATACGAGATGCGAAATTTATTAGGTATTGGCGGTGATGCCTGTTCAGAGACGCAACGGAAGGATCGTCTTCAGTTGGACGAGCTCCGCTTCAATTTACGCCTACTTTTTTTACGCATTCACCACGATTCTCGTCTTTATGGTAGGACAGGAAAGGTTTTTGATTTTGACCACAAAGAGCAGAAAATTTGACGAATACATTTACTCCATTATTTTCATTATTTATCTGGTGCCGCATTTTTGGATACCCTACGTCGGTTGGGGCGTGGCAAAAGACGTTTGCGTCTATAAAAATTCTTGGGGTTATTTCCAATTGGATTTCTATAAAATCACCGGTACTAAAAATAAATGGAAATGAAAATAAAAGGACTTTAATCGTTTTAAACGAGAATTTCAGGAAAAAGTTTGGAGTTTCCTCATTTGAGCACTTTGATAGTGGTAATCAGTTCGGGATGCTTGATTCTCGCAATCGCCTTTCTCCTAACGCTTAGCGCATTACTGGAGGGCTTTACTATGTATCATACCACTGCGTATATACATATAATCACGATGATTAACATGAACTGCGCTTTATGGTACATTAATTGCAGAGCGATAGGCAACGCCAGCAAATCGCTCGCAGATAGTTTCGATTTGGTAAGTAAAATTACGTAAACACCATATGCATAAATATTGATTTTTTAACTTATCAAGGACATCAAAGGATATTGTGCATCACATATAATAGCTCATTATCGAGTGTTGTGGCTTCAGCTCAGCGAAATCCTGCAAAAACTCGGAAACGCTTATGCGAGAACTTACTCAGCTAATTCATTATTTATAATTACCAATATAACGATTGCAGTAAGATTTATAAATAAATCGTCGATAAATAAGTTGCAGAACTTATTGAACTTTTAGATTTACGGATTCACGTCGGAGATCGTCGATCATGGATTTCGCTTTACGTTCAAGGAGATTGGCCTTCTAGTTGATGCGAGCTATTGCATGGTTTTGTTTTTCGTTTTCTGCGATTGTTCCCACAATGCTTCACTCAATATTTCCAGCAGAGTTCAAGAATCTCTAATGAACATCGATTTGAGCATCATCGATAAGGATACCATAGCCGAGGTTCATTACTATAAAACAATAAAAACTATTAGTTATAAGATCTATAAGTTAAGTTTTAATTTCAGGTCGAGATTTTTCTAATTGCAATTCAAATGAATCCTCCCAAGGTGTCCTTGCAAGGATATTCTGTCGTTAACAGAGAATTGTTAACAGCTGTAAATACGAACTGTTTGTTTTAGCTTATGTTAAGCATACTAAAGTTATTTTTATTTCAGAGTATTTCAACAATTGCCATTTACTTGATTGTTCTACTGCAATTCAAAATAAGCTTAGTTAAAGTATAAACAAAAATATTTGCACAACTTGAAATTTAAAAAAAACTCATATTCAGAAACAATGCAATTAACTTAAACCAGTTTAATAAATTAAATAAATATGGAAAAAACATGTGTCTAAAATACACATTAAGTTTTAGGAAATATTTATTAATTATAAAACAAATTAAATAATTCATGTTTTCTTCTAATATATTCCTAGTATTAGTTCATATTATTAGTCAATTACTTTTCTTCCTGGTTATATCCATAAATCCAAAATTTTATCATTTATACATCTTATTCGTAAATCGGAAATTTATAGAATGAGACAAAACTAACTTTTTTTCTAACTAAGAAAAATTTGTAAATTTTGAAATCATTTAAATTATTATTTATATATAATTAACGATTTATATAAGAATTATCGTTATATAATTAGCTCCATCTATTATGATTATTTGGACTATATAGATTTGACAGTTGCATGGTAGTCTAACCTAAATGTTTATCAGATTTTATTAATACAAAAATATGTCTCTACTAAGGCAATTTTGTTCAAAGCTAGCTCCAATTCTTGTGAACAATTCAGTAAGGAGCACACAAAATGTATCAGCAGCAATTACAACAAACAGATTCTTTTCAAATAAACCAGCTCCCTATGAGATTGTCGATCCAAAAATTGAGAAGCAGGAACAACAAGGTAAGAATATATGACTTACTAAATCTCTATTAATAATAATATTTTGCTAGATATTATCAAAAAGGTGAATGAGCAAGTGAATGCTAACCAACAAGGGAGGATATTTGCAGTGGTTCATTTAGCAGGAAAACAATTTAAAATAACTGAAGGTGATGTTATTGTTGTGGAGGGCTATTGGCCACCTGGTCCTGGAGACAAACTCAAATTGGATAAAGTATGTTTATATTTATTTAATATTTACAATGATAAATGTTAAAAAAATTGAGTTTGGTAATTGTTATTATTATGAATGTAGGTTTTAATGGTTGGAGCAAAGGATTTCACCCTGATTGGTAGACCTATTGTTGAAGATGGATTAGCAAATGTGACAGCAACAGTTATTGAAAAAACTTTATCACATACCAAAACTGATTTTAAGAAGAAAAGGAGGAAGCAATACAAGAATATCAACTGTAAGTATCATTTCCTTTATAAAATATTGAAAAGAAATAATATTTGATTTTTATTTACAGTCTACCGTATACAACAGACTATGCTTCGAATCAATACAATTGATCTTAGTGGTAAATTGAATAATCCCCCAGATGTCACTGGCACAGAACATAGAATCCTTTAAATGTATGAATTAAGTTAGGAAAGAATAAATATATTAAACAATATTTGTTTTATTTCTTTAATTTACTTCTTTTTCTTTTGATATACATGTATAATGTTTACAAAGCTTTGAACACAGTGTGAATGATGAATAAATGACTATTTCTTTTTTCAATTCATGATTAATTCCATGTTATGTATGTTAAAAATTCATAAAATAAACTAAAATATTGATAATCTATCAGATTATACTAATGTATTTTTATATATATATTATGAAAAGAGGATTTACTAAAAATTATTTTAAGGAAAGGCCATGTTTGCATAGTATGTTCTCATTAAAAGTATTGATAAAATAGTTAGTGACAATATATTTGATTAATGTCACATTGACAATTGTCAAATTTTACAATTTGCAGAAATGTAAACATAGCCTAACTATGACATATTTAGTTTTCTTTTTTTTTTCTGCCAATTTACACATTTATCTAATTCTATCACAATTCTGCCAAAACTAAAATTTAAGACATGTATTCAATGTATATAAAAAATTAATACAAATCACAAAATTATTTCATAAAAAAATATAAGGGAAACTGGCTTAGCTATCATAAAAAATACGAATGAATACATATTCTAGAAAAGTATCAAATAATTCGCCTATCAACATGAAAATTATCACAAATGCTATAATTTAATTATAAATAAATATTTTTCAGTTTACAAATAAAATGTATATAAATGCAAATATTACTGTTTAATTTTTGTTTCTTATGTAATTAAATATTCATATAAAATGTATGTTTTCTGATTTTCTCTTTGCCTGAATTATTATTATTATTACTTTCGTTTCCATTTTTTTTCTTCCTTATTATTTGTTTTTTTTTGTGGCTTTTATGATTGATTGGTCCATATTAAGACTAGGTTTTCATATTTATTATTATTATTTTTGGCACCCAATTTTAGGTGTTCAAAACGCAATAAGAAAAATAAAGCATAACAATGAAGCCGTTAAAAAATATTTCAGTCGATATTGGTTGTGTATACGTTTATAATAATAATACCTTAAAAAATGTTCTCGTTTTAATATCAATAATAATTCCTTTAATCGTTTTATTTGCTTTTTTTTGATATATGTATTTTGAAAAAAAATCCAGAGATTATTTTTATTGTTTGGTTTTTTTCTTTGCCTCGCGACAAAGGGTTTGGCAAAAGCCGATCCAAGTTTGCTCGTAGTGTGAGCACTGGTCGCAGCTGGAGGATGCGGACGAAGAACAACTTCTTGTTGCAGTTTCGCACACCAGCTGGGCCAGTCAATCAACCAAGATCCCTTGAGAAACGTTCACTAATTGATCCTTCAGGTTGCGGAACGATGGTCTCTGCTCAGGTGAGGGACTCCAGCATTTCCTCATTATCTGTTAAACATATATTAAAATTTCACATTTCATTATTTACACTTAATATATTCACTCACATCAAAAACTTCTTTGTAGCATCCTTTGGGTTTCTCTAATATTATCCCTTTCTGAACTCTCTCAACTACTTCTGTATTTTTCAAGCGGCCGTAGGGCATCTTTCCGCATGTAAACACTTCCCACATCAGCACCCCGTACGCCCAGATATCGCTTTTCGATGAGAATCGAGTGTAGTTGAGCACTTCCGGCGGCGCCCATTTAATAGGAAATTTGGTTCCTCCGGAAGAAGTGTATTGATCGTCCAGTACGTATCTTGCCAATCCAAAATCGGCCACCTTCACAATATTCTCCGATCCGACCAGACAATTACGAGCAGCCAGATCTCGATGAATGTAATTGTGCCGTTCCAAATATGCCATCCCTTTACAGATCTGTAACAACATTAGTCTTATTACAATCACAATACAAATTTAAAAAAGTAAATCAAAAAAACTAAATGATTATTTTTAAGAATTAGATTTACATAATGTAATAAATACCTGTATGCACATATCGAGAAGAAGTCCTTGGTTGCTAGAGAGCGATTGCTCGTGTTTTCGTAAATAGTTAAGCAAAGATCCATGCCTCATATATTCAGTGACAATGAAAATAGGTCTGTTTTTACTGCATACACCGTACAACTGCACCAAATTGGTATGTTGCAATTTGCTAAAAACGAATTAACCATTAAATACCATCTGGCTATATTAGTATTGATTGCATTCATTTCACTCACGTCATGACTTTGGCTTCCTCGATGAAATCATCTTCAGACATAGTACCTTCTTTCATCATCTTAACAGCAACATCGATAGATCCACGCCATTTTCCGCGTCGCACGACGCCGAACTGCCCCGAACCAAGTTCATCATGTAGCATAAGCTCATGAGGATCGATTTCCCATTTATCTGCAACGCCAGTCCATTAGGATATTTCGTCGATGTATTTTATATGAATTTATTTTTTTACCGTGACTCAAACCAGCTGTCGCGGGAGCAGGACGATCGCAAGGACTTGTCTTAAGCCTTGAAGCCAATCCTCCGCTATTGTGCTTATGGTAATTGATAAGGTCAGGTATTGAAGAGCAGCAATGCTTCTCGGACAAATAAAATTCCGCCCGCGAATTCTGTTTGATATGATAATGTTTGACGTGAGGATGCGGTCTGCATAAGTGGATAACAGAATGATTAAGTTTTGCTTTTGGCTTATAAGTAAATAGATCGTCTTACACTTTCGTATACAAAGAGAGCGTATACAATCCTTTTGTGGATGAATTTCTCACGACGAAGCAACCCTCTTTGTCCTCGTGTTTCAGCAAAGATTCGGATCTCTGTCGGGACATATCATGCACATACCACCTAGAAACAATCAAATAGTAATTGAGTTCTAAGCGTCACGCATCTATGCTAGTGAGATACAATCAAATTATAGCACGCCCTTCAAACACGCAAACTTAAATCAAGATTTACAAGTAAAGCATTTGCATCCTCTCCTATCAAATATAATTCATTTCGGTACAATGTACTTACTCGTATTGCTGAAGGCCAATTAATTCTTTCTCTTTAACGTAATTACTTGGAATAAAACCCGTATTTCTGCAAACAAACCAAAAACCAACAATTACAAATCAATGTTTTAAAGTACTTAATCATATAAAACGTACCCATGATTATCTCTGACTTTCCACCAATGTTCTTGGGAATCATCAATTACTTCATACTCGGCGTTCTAAAAATACAACTTGTGATAAAAACAATAAACAATGATGCAGTTGAAAGGTTCAAACCTTCTCCAAAGACAAATCTCCGGTTTCGATTGCTTTGTAGTTGTATAAAGCCACAACGACTTTAGGCCTGATCATAGACTTCTCTTTCAGTTTGGCACTTGGTGTACCTGGGGTGGCGCCCCCTCCAGGCATGATGGGGCTCGACTGGGCACCTTGAAAAACGATTCCATCATTAAAAATACATTCACATGAAACAATATAATTACTAAGAAACGTACACGTAATTTGCGTTTAATTGCAGCACACGACGTACAAAAAAAACTAAATAAAACAGATATCACTATTGTTGTATTCAACGGTGAACTGAATCGAAATGGCAAAGGTTTTCCGAATTCGGAAATTAGCTTTATCACATTAATTAACGCGACCGCAAGATAACAATTTCTCTTTTTTTTTTCATTAGTATAAAATATTCGTGAAATTGTCAGGATAATCCGACGCTATAAATCATAAATTGCAATTAGCATACACGCTAATGTCGGAAATTAATAATTTTTTTGTGCGCTCGCAAACCTTGAAGTTGTTATAATCACACAATCAAATGTGCAATTAAATTGTGTTCCTTTCCCGTTGCCGCTGTGGATAAATTTCTTTGCAAAATCCTGCGAGGATTGCGTAACGATGATGCTGCTGCTTCGCCTCAATTGGAATATGGCCGAAGTAATGAGTAACATCCCATTCAGGCAACCATTGCTTCAAAAGAAGAATCAACCTTATTCACATTGCATGTATGCATGCGAATAGTGCTGTTCAATGCAAACGGAACAATTCAATTTATTCGTTTATAATTTCTCTGTGATAAAGAGTCAATTCATGTTTCCAGAATAAACACTAATAAAATTTTCTTTTATAATACAAATTAATTAAAATAAAAATGATTCGCTCAATTATTTCTTTACGAAATAACATTATCCTGCTATCTGAATTTAGCAATAATTAACATAAACGTAACTGTTTCTTGGACCAATTATTGTTGCATGAAATTATGTACTATGTGCTTTATAAGAAAGTTATAGGATTATTAAGATTTCCTTCTAAAGCAAATAATGATTTCCGTCCTCACAGAATGTATTACACACACCGAAATGCCAAAATCACAATTTGGTAAAAAGGATTTAATTACATAATAATCTATGAATGTTATTATAATAAGTGGAAAATCAATTCTATCAATTAATTCAGTTCTATAGTTAATTCTAATAAAATCTTATGGGAACAAAACTAAGTTTTTTTATTTCCTCATATTGCAAATTCAGAATATAATTATAATAAATATATACATAATTATATAGAAGTTAACATTTATGTACAATTTCGCAGTTAAATAGATTTTTTTTAAATCAATATTATTCTGCTATGAAAGAAATCTGATAATATTCAAATTAAAGGTGTTAACGAGTTTAAAAGTAAAAGTAAAACTGCGTTCAAAATGCAATTTTAAAAATTGGCTAACATTAATGTTAATTTAACATTTAGCAAGTTCCATAAACCGAAAAACCATATAAAAAAACAGCACACGTCATTAATAAAACTTTTATTTTACAAGGTAAAATACGTAGAATACGAATAAATTGGAATCCTCGAAAAATGTAGGCGAATGAAAAAAAAAGTAGCCAGAATATATAGCGAATTATTTCGGACGTCGAGGCGCCAGATTGAAACTTTCGCAACAATTAAAAAAAAGAGAATTCCATTATTGTAAAGGACGATGTGGAGGAAAAGAGAGAAAAAACGAATAGAGACAGCATATTACTCAACGTAATGATTTTAATTTGAATTTAATTGGATCTCTGCGAGGTGAGAACAAGCAGTTAATTGCAAATCGTTTGATTTTCCGGCCAAGAAAATTACTTTTATTAATTTTTAGGAAAGCGACATGGTTAATAAATTGATGTTGCGAAAATTCCCATTGATGTCGTGGGAGACGGCGAAGAAAAGAAGCGAGAGCGTTGAAGAAATTGCAAAAGCGCAGAAGAAGAGAGAACAGGTGAAACAGAAGCAAGAGAACCAGAGGTATTATGAATTAGCAATATGTTCGATGTCGATGGGGGGTTGCAAAAATCTGGAGCGTGTTTTTCCATCGATTTCTTGCTTACCAGTGGAGTTCCGAAATACAGATACGAGCATCGCACTGAAGGTATTTTTGGGGCTGTTGCTCTCCTCAAATTCCGGATAATCTCTTTCGGCCTCTGTATCTGCTGGAGCACATTAAACAGTCTGCACTTGCATCAACATGGCGACTGGCGAGACTTGAGCCTCAAGGAGAGAGAAAGAACTAAAAACCCAAAGTGAGCGACTCTGGTAGCACCGTTAGATGGTTAAGACAGGTTTCTCCACCTGTACGACCATCGCAGGCACTAACACACACATGCACACGCTGTATACGTGCTGTTATTTTCACTTTGAATTCATAATTTTTATGTTCCCTACGTATATATTTTTTGCAGCGCCCGAGGAAGGCGTGCATCAGCCACTGACCGGAGATGATTGTTAATCATCCACCATTTGCTACGACAAGCAATTGTCATCAATTATTCTTCAGCAGACGCAATATCAACTGAAATGAATCGGCAGTTGATAATTAAATATTTTTTTAAAAATTAACAATTCAGCCACACTAATATGTTCGACAAAAATCATACATAAATCATGAAAATGCGAAACAATTATTTAATCCTAGTCGGATGCTGACCATTAAACGCTGCACAACAACGGAAGCACACGCATTGTGTTAAGTCCGAATGAAAGCATTCATGTCCAATTGTTCATTTGGAAAATGACGTGATTATATTAAGCTTTCGTCCATAATATATTTCTATGTGACATCCAAAGTTATGAGATTAATTGGTTAAAGCTGTCAGATGCCAACTCATTTTCAACAATCCAATTCATGAATATGTAATACTTTAATTCGACATGATTCTCATGAGTACGTAAAAACGCACTCCAATAATATTTCAATTTATAAAAATAATTCAAATTAGCGAATAATCAATTGACTCGAAACTAGAGACAAGCAGGAACAATGGCAGTGGTTTAGATAAGTTAACCCAATTAAGTTATTCTGCAAAATAAAATGTGTCTTATCGCAAAATGTGAGCAGAAATAAAACTATTCAATTGACCTAGTCTAGTTATTCTGCAAACAAAAATAATGTTGAGTATTACACTATAAAATTACTATATTGTTACAACAAAATGTTTGATGTAATAAAATATTTTAAATTTCAAATAAATGGTTCGTTTAATTCTATATTTATACAATATATTGCAAATGGTTTTTATTATTATATTTTTTTTAATATGTGGGGTATTTCATTTGAGCAAATTACTCTAGGTGGAATAGAATGAGAAACAATTGATAAATAAGTAGTTATTATATATTAATGTTTGAAAATAATGAATGTATTTTCTTTTAATGTATTCTATTATTTTTCATTCTCAATTTTCGTCGCAATTCAACGTATTTGCGAACTAACAAAAGGAATCGTTGATATCCTCTACCTGTGCATAAATAAGCAGCAACACAGTTTATGTTATTGTTTACCAAAACAGAAAATACGAGTATACACACGTTAAGCAAATAAACTATTACGCAAATCCGCTCGAACAATGATGCAAAGGTAATACATAATCAACGGGGCCTCGGACGTAAATGCAGTCATTTGAATTAAGAATATTAGAAAAGCAACCCGAACAAAATCAATTCGATTAGAGCGGAATGGAAATCTGCAGCATAAGTGGCGCGCGAATTAATGATTCATTGCGTGCCCATAATCTGAACATGGAACGGAAACCATGCATTCTTTCCAACGGTAAACAACAAGCCATGCTCTTCTATACAAATTCACTAAACATCATGAAACACGAATTCATCTAATTTTGCAGAGATGCAGGTTGGCTACCTTGAAATGCTCTTTAAATACTGTTGAAATCGAATATTAATGCGAAAGAAAACGTCTTCAAAATTCAATATCAACTGCAATGGTTCTAAATCTAATTGTTATATGATTAAGTTTCAAGTTCAAGAGTAAATGTAGGTTACACTTTGTGTTTGAAATTAATAGGAAATGCAAAAACGTTGTTTTTTGGGGAAATATTTGTTGAAACAATACCTGTTAATAATGGCCAAAACTTCCATCTGCAACTCGCGAATACTCTCATTTTCATTTTATGGTGGATAGACGGCATCGCCACTGTTTTTCATCAAGCTCCATGCGCATACTACATACACACTGGCACTGAACGTCTCTCCATTATTATTATGTTTTTTTTTTTAAATAAATAATTATATTTTCTACATCATTTTCCGTGCATGCATTCGTGTGGCGTGTGGCCCCTTCTCTGCTTCTATTTGGATACAGACTGATTAGTATGCTCGTGGCTACATCCGCTCAGGTACAATGGTCTCGCTTGACTAAACGCTTCCGATACATCCGAAATTAGAATTTCAACTTTATGGGGCCCCTCAGACTACCTTCAGGACATGCACTCTGGATGCAACAAGATGCATGCAAAAAAAGAACAACCGAATTACGTGTTAAGGGGAACATTTTATTCGTCTGCTAATTCACACATTTATGTTTGCGATCAATTCGCATAAACGCCTTTATCGAAACCTGCTGATTGCAGGACTGTTTATGCCAGGATGTGGCTTATTACCGCAACAAATATGTCATATTTGGTATTTACATTTATATAACGATTGAATGAAATATCTTACTAATTACAATTGGCTATATACTTTTTTTTTATAAATATTCTAAACAATATATGAATCGCTAGAATGCTTAGCATTCCTATATAAAATCGGCGGCCAAATTCTTGATATCGACTATCAAAATTAATACATTTAAAACGTAAATGACATTTATGAGTTATAAAATATCTGACACATATTCATTTTATTGAATAAAAACTTTGTATAACATAATATAATTATTGTAAAATTTACGAATTTGAAGATTCAAAAACTGAATTTTAAATGTTGAACCAATGCATTATTACAACTAAATATTTATAAATCAAAGAATATACATACATTATAATGATTTTATATGAATATTGCATTCTGCGCTAAAATAGACGTAGGAGTTTCAAATTTCATTTTAATCTAATTATCTCGCAAATTGCTCTCAGTCATTAAACGTCAAATGGATACCTAAGTTTACGTGCGTCACTGGTGTAAAGTGCAAAACATAATTACACGCAAGACAATTTTTCAAAGAGAACAACAAAACAAACAAATACGTTCCAACTTCGTACTAAGAAGCAAAATCTCGTTATATGTTATGTTTTATTTATCTATGTTTCATATACATGAAGCACTTGTTTGTAAACGTTTAGTAGAAAATACAATTTGTATATTTTTATTTACCAATATGTCGGTTTTCGTTTATAAGATTTTTGGGAACACCGGATGACTCAATTGCATGAAAATACCGCGCTTTACAGTTTGCTATTTGTATACAGCCCTGCATATTTTGGATTCTCACTGCATGATTCACCCTACCATGTATGCATGAATCTAAATCATCAACGTACAGAGACCACAAGCTCTTAGCGACAAGCTATAAAAATCGAAGCTATTTTTAATATATGTAATTGTAACGAACGAGTATCGTCCTGTTTGGCAAATTTCATTAACTATATGTTTCATAGTAAAAAGTCGCGGATAAGTTTTGAATGGATTGTACTGTAATATCTTCATGCAATTACTATTCACGTAACAAAATGATTAAATTTTATGTAAAAAATGTTTAGCAAGGATAACAAACATTGTCATATCTAAGCTATGATTTGATACCTATTCTTTATCATACCTCAATACTTGATTCCTTGAGCCCTCCCTCAAAAAAAAACTAAACGCCCCTACGCTCCGTAAGTAAAATCCAATATCGCACCAATCCCCGGACGGTTTAGCCTACCATAAAATTGAACTAACTCCTATCTCTGACCGATATTCTTTTTCTTTTAAAAAATCCGCAAGAGAAATTACAATCCATTCCAAATAATCCCAGCTCAAAGCCCAAATAAATTCTCATCACTTCTTATATCTACGAAAAAATCTGTCCTTTATGTATTTGTTAATTGTACGTATTATAATTTTAGAACAATAACGTATCAACTTTTCAAAGTAAATAATATTTTTTTCTTAATACTTCAATGTAATAACTATAATAAGAAAGAGTGTAACTAAATAATTATAGTTATTTGTTGTATTGCGAATATGATGAATGCGAGAGTATTTGAAAGAGTTACCTTGATTAAAATTTTCCTTGTTGTGATCGGATTCGTCTGCGATGTGTGAGGAGACGAAAGTCCGAGAAATGCAGTTCACACAGCCAATACTATTCCTCGAGCTTTCCTTGCAGCAGGCCCAGCGTTTCCCTGTCCACACTCCCTGATGATATTTGTCCTTTAATTTGTTACTGGCGCAAACTGCAACAAATTGTTCCTCACATCAAACACAATTTCGACTCGAGAACAGAGGATGGAAAGAAACGTTTTTTTTTAGGTCTCGTCCGGACCTACCAGAGCGTACTGTGACAATAACGCGTAAAAGACATTCAATATTTCACATACTTCGCATGTAACTGAACGCAGTGCTCTGGTTAACAGAAGAAATAAAACATAATAGCGAGAGAAAATAAAATGCAGAATAAAGAATAGACAAATGTTAATAAGTTTTCCTGCATGTTTTAATAAACAAAAATTTAATTAAATCATGTAGGTCGAGATCGCTTAGTAAAGAAGCAAGCAGCACGCACTCAAAATACAATGCTCTGCAAGCGCATTAAGTTGTCTGGAACTTTCTATGATTATGAACGGGAAGGTACGAACATTGAATTTAACGAGCAACTATTTGCGTATCGCTCCCCTTCGAATCGTTCGAACAAAAATTTCACCAGAGAAAGAACGTTTGAGGTTTGATTAGGTACGGCGGATTTCTCACCATTACGTAGGCATTTGATCCATTCCAACCTCTCCAATTCACTGTGCGCGTTCAGATAGAGGGTGTAGTCTTGGCCGCACTCCTCATACCCGACCAGAAAAGGATAATGGATAGTTATAGTGTTCTCCTCGGCGAAGGTTGTCTCCAAAGCCACTTCCACCGTGTGCACCGTCTCCAAATTTATGCGGCCCTTCTCCTTGCGTTTCTGTAAGAGAGAAAAAAAAGATGATCCTGCTGTCGCAGTAAAATTGCATCATTGTCTTCTTCAACCGCTTACCGAAAATGTGAGTGAAACGGCAAATGATATGAACAAATAATGAGACAACAAAAAAATAATAAATTGGAGGCGTGTGCGACGGGGCAAAAATTCGCAAAGCAAATGGGCGTCCGTCCCGATGGTGGTGCTGCCGACGCCGCGACGTCCCACCCTTGAACAAGTGCGCAGCTGTCTAGTTTTAGTACAGCACCTCCAACATTATTACTCATCACCCCACCAAACCAACTCAAAAAAAAAGGATGAAACACACATACACAGGGTTGGGTGTGACAGGGTCCATAAATATTTAACATCCATCCCGAAACTTTTACTTTCATTTCAACTTCAGATTTGCTGATCAGCTAACACCAAAAAAAGAGCACACTATAAATCATCCTAAACTTATACTTATTATATGTATATAACAATGACAACTATCATAATCAATAGACAACATAATTGTAGAAACACATTAAATTAACTCTTTAAACTTGTATATAATATAATTATACACAAGAAGAATATTCAACTTTTAGAAGAAACTTTCTTTTTTTAATAAAATATACGATGAAAATCATTATTGAAATATTTCTAATATCACGTGATAAAATGTATACAGTGAATGGATTACAATTAAAACAATTAATTGCATATATTCATAATAGTGTTTTGACCTCAGTCTTTCTATTTTAATTGACGAAGTAATTAAATACAATTATGTACGACTCTGTACGCTTGTAAATTAACACTTAAATGTTGATATTTTCATCAGTGCAGTTATCGAGCATAAGTAGAAACGTCAATAGATTTTAGATGTTATTGAATAATGTACGTGTGTTTTGTGCGATTTATCGTATTCCATTTTAATAATGTTGTGTTATTAAATACTGTCAGATAGATAAGGACCGATAACTGGTGCATGAGAGAATAGAAATATGTTCGTTCCACATTGACCACATACACAAGTTAATTGAGAAAATTAACATCTGGCAACGCTCTAAATTAATTGAACATCCTGTGTAACAAAAAAATATGTTAAACCGAGTTCTCCTTAGCAAACAAGTGATAAACGGGGAAAATAATAAATTTCTACAAGTTTTAAAGAAAAAAATTTTAGAACGAGACTTTATAGTCAATGATCAGATCAAATGCATTTGCATATAACGCATTGGAAATTAACAATAGAAATCGAATAATTCAAGTTTCAATCATCAAAGAAATAATTCCTGCAAAATTTACAAGATTAGCTTTTAAAAGAATTCCCAGAAAATAAATATATAAAAGGTGCACTCGTAACACAAAAAAATATAAGTTCATGGTATTGTTTACCTTCTCTGCTCGAGGTGATGTAACGACACCAATAGATTTTTTTTAGTATCCTTGTAAGAGTTGACCATCGACAATTTTCAATGCACTGTCGCAAAATTTTAAATAGAAACTCGATACTTTACGCCGTGCATTAAAACGTGTACAAAACAACAAAGAGATAGCAGTAAATATATTTTTTAATAACTAAAAAATGTATACAAAAAAATATAATATATTTCTATTGATACGAGTAAAATATTAGTATATATTATTTATTCATTGATACAGACAAGTTTTAATAACATATAATTTCGGTTTAACAATTCAAGATGCAACAAAAGTCACTCTTGTGATTTGTGAACTATCATTTTTGTAGCTCAGTTTTATGTGTTGCAGTAAGTTTTAGCCCTTTGGGGCATGTCTGGTATGGTACGCATAAATATACGTAGTAAAAATGCAAATATCAACATAAATTTCCATTCCGCGAATAATTTATGGTTTCCTTTATTAATAAAATTGAAATTGAAAGCGAGTGACTCAATTTCTGTTGATTTTGTATAGAATGGCGTTGGAAACGGACAGTATGTATTTTAATACATCTTTTTGTTTCATATTAAATTATGTATAATCGATTCAGTATAAATTGCCGCGCATTACTTATTTATGAATTGCATTTACGTTGAGTCTAGGAAAAGCATTTACTACAATTACTATAATTTGTAAACTATTCACGACTACCGAAAACTAAATGCATAGAGCGTCATCCAAAGTAATAACAGACATATTATTATTATTATTATTATTATTACCACTATTAGCAATTTAAACAACTTCAAAAGGTGTATTTATAATTTTAGTATAAGCTGTGATTCATATTACTGTTAATTAATTCTAAAATTTCCCTCGTCAGCCGCAATCGTGCCGCCACATAATAAATACATTCCATCGTCTATCGGAACTAATTCCAAATGATCATTCCCGTGAGCTTCCAAGAATATTCATCTTCATTTGTAATTAGCTCGCATTTGAAGTTACATGCGGTGTAAAACGCTAAACTTCTGTATTAAATTTTCATTCGGTGAACCAGTAAATGATTGCAAAAAAAAATGCACAGAAATATCATTAAGTAAAATACAGCACGTGCGCTGTATTAGATAATAATGAACATTAGTTTATAATTTTATTTATTTACAAAAGTATTATTGTATTCCGTGTTTATTAATCCACGTCCCATAAGTGATATAGATAATATAATATTAGGAATTAGTCTAATTCAATTATATTGTTTAAAATAAATAATACGAAACATTATACATTTTATATAATTGTTTCAATAATGTGAAACACATTATTTACTCTCAAATTAATCTAATATGTCGCGATGATAAAAAAATATGTTATATCCGGTGAGTTGTGATTTCCGGATTAAATTTATTAATTGTGTTAAATTTTGTCGAGTACTTAAAATTCCTTAAGATAACTTTTTCTTAGACTATAGCAAAACTATAATTATACAATATTATGAATAAATATATATTATTTTCAATAATATTGTATAACTAAGATAGATGTGTTGATATTATGTATAAGTAAGTAATTGCAATTTAGAAAGTAAACAGAATCTTATAAGAATTTGTTTGATAGAAAGAAGAGTTGTTGCACCTCTGCATGTTTGAATGCACACGATTTGACAGCTGAAATGAGCGAGTTGCAAACGTTGACATTCAGAAGACGTTTGAAAGCGTTTGACAACTGTTATCAATGAATGCTTAAGTAACATGTCATGCAAGGTCCTTAGGTACTCACAGCCGTAAAGGACACGGCGTTAGTTCCAACGCAAACCGCACTAGATATTTAAATGTTTAGTGTAATGCAAATAATGGATTGTTGTTTACCTCGAAAATGTCATTGTCGTAGTAAGTCAGTGCCTTGGTAGTCAGCTGGAAGAAACGCTGTTTGAAATTGACGGGCGTGTATCTCTTCTTGTTCTGCGACCTCTTCACCATGAATCCCTCTCTGACTACGTCGTACCTCCTCGCCATTACATTGTTTTCTAGGTTATAGCTTTATTTGTTATCGCAGTTACCAAGAAGAGGAACACAAAAAAAAAGGAACGACAAAGCCAAGAGAGTAGAGGGTTGCTGCCTATTATGTCGCACAATACGCTCAACTTTTTTGTTCAATCCGCAGCGTTACCATATCCGCACGATGGTGAATCACTATCGCTTTTCACTATCGTGCGCATTGCGAAAATGTTGATTTGATATTATAAACAATTACCCGCGAATTGCTGGACGATAATTGAAAAACCAAGTGCTGCAATGTCGCGGGGACTGCGTACCATTGGTTGGCCGATTTCAGAATGAATGGATATATTTTTAGAAGCACAGCATGCGGTCGTTTCCATTTATTAGTAGACGTGCAGACCTTTTTACATTTATTTTCGAAAACACCATCAACATACAATCAGCACCATTCTTACTCCATTATACTATACCAACGCTCTCCACTGGTATCCACCAAAACAATATGCTAAGCAAGAATAGATTACATCCAAAGCTTTATTTACTATGTTCTTTATTAAATTGTATTCTCATCTAAAGCCACTTAAAGTTCAAAACATTACAGATCTCATGACTTTTGGCAACATTGCAATTATAAACACGTTTGCTATAGCACTTCTGGTTATCTATGTATAACAACATATGTATATATTCTTGTATTTTCCTTTAAATTATTTACTGTTATTAGTATTGGATTTCACACACATAAACATTAGAGAAGATCTCATTGATCTCATGTTCAAAGGACTGTAGGACATCAAACCTTACAAATACAGATGATAGTTTACTACAAATATTAATTATAGATAACACAGGATAGTCGCATAATGATTCAAATTAAAACAATGAGGTTTACGCCAATCAAATAGATTTGAATGTAAATCTACAAAAAATTGACAATTGTAGTTCTTTAATACATAAATAAATATCGTATTCTTTTCATATATCCAATCCATTGCTCAATATCTTAAGATATGATCGTCATATAATACTGCTGATTAATTGGCTTAAATTCAAATGTATATCTACATCAGCGGCCGCCAACCGGTGGTCTGGGAACCACTGGTTGGTCGCGAGAAAATGTTGGTGGGCCGCAGAGTAACTTGATTCTACTTTTTCTTTGGATTCTAATCCAATGTGAATATGATTTCATATTTAACATCTCATTTTTATGGAAAACATTATGGTAGTGGTCTGTGGAATTACTAATTTTGAGTTTAGTGGTCAATAGATAAAAATACATCTTAATACGGGTATTTATTTTTATCGTAACAAATTAAATAAAATCAATATATAATTAATACTGAAAATAAAATATATAGATTAAAATAAAAATATATCACCAAATATTCATATTTTAAAAGATTCTACTATAACAGGAGTGGCCAACATGTTTCTTCTTTAAATCGACTGAATATTTTTACTTAAAAAGTGATCAAGATCTACATGTAAAATTATTTTTATTTCACACAATCACATAATGAAATTCTTTCAAAATCAATATCAAGTGAAAGTCAAGAACTTGTTGGCTACCCCCTCTACTATAACATTGAGTGTATTGTGAAAATTGCTAATTTGGTAAATAGAACGTGCTTTACTCTAAAATTGGTATATATTCATTTAATATAATTAGGAATTTTATTGTTAAACTCTGATCACATTTGTGTGAGGCTACATTTAGACACCAATAATGTTTTTTTTTATTACTATGTTATCTACGTTTTATCAAACAATATTAAAAACAAGATTTATGTAGATAACAGCTAATTGTGTTCAAAAAATTGCATATTTTGTAATGACTATTTAGTATCATAGTATAATAAAGGAGAGTGTCATAATTATTTCCAAAAACATGAGCCTCTCTGCTAAGTAGTATTACCTATAAACCTTACTGCCTGTTGGCGGCTTGCAAAATACGTAAAATGTAGATGAATAAGTTAAGTATATCCATGTACAAATTAATCGTCGCCAAAATGTATTCCTCTGGGGACAATTTTTCCAACATCATTTGTGTATCAAATACAATAAACAAACTGAATAAAAATGCACCACCAAGTGACATCAGCAATTCAATCATAGATGACTGTACAAATATTTGAATAAATCCACCAACAATGAGAATACACAAACCAGCAATCAATCTAAAATTGAAATATTTTAGTAGTAATTAAGAGTAATTAATAGATGTCATTTTTTAAATTAACTTACACAGAGTGCATTGAAGAGAAATCATGTTTAGTTTGGAATGTATAAAGGGTCAATCCAGCAAGTACTGCAAATGTCAATAAAAGAGCTTCCAATACCAATGTTTGTGAATAAACAGATACAATAACTCCAACTGTATAAGCCTCAAAAACAGTCTAAAAAGTATAACAATAGCATTACTTAGTAGAATTACTTAATTCTCATAAAGCACTCACAAAAGCTGCAAGAAGAATCAAATTGATTGGAGTTTCCTTCCTTTTGATAAATAAAGCAATCAATATTCCAAAACTTCCAAATAATGCTATTAGCATCAACCAATCACTGAAATTTAAAATTAATTAATGATTGTATATAAAATGTTATAAAATGTTAATTTACTTTGTTCTAATAAAGTTTTTAACAGGTTCCACAAATAAGCAAACACTTGCCACAATAACTGTTAAGAACAGTTGAGTGGCTAATAATCCATACACTTTTCTAATAAAAGCCATACGGACATTCTTTGAGGCCTGTAAAACATTATTGCGATAGGCAAAGTCATTTTCAATGCCATCATCATAATCCTTTCCCCCTTGCTCACAGTCTTCTTGCAATATTAATGGAACTGTTGAGGACATCCCTATAAGAATAATAAATTATTAGAAACATCGATTTTGTTATCCTTTTTACCAAAAAAATTGAGTCAATAACAAACATTAAAAATGTCCATATGTTATGTTTAATTTTGTTAAATAATTGCATGTTATATTACCTGCTACAGTATATGAAATTTAGCTTTTAACTAATACTGCATACTCAATACAGCACCACAAAATATAAATATTTTGGCGATTTGTCAAATTGATATGTCAAATAATTTTAGGAACAGTGTCACAAGATAATTAATTGTTAATTATTCTATACGTCAAACAATACCAACTTCATATTTTTTTACATACATTTATAAACTAAACAAAAATCTTATCTATTTTCTTGTTACCAATTATTTAAATAAAAATAATTTTAAACACATAATCAAAAGCAAACAATGTAAACATATTGCCAATTGATGTATATATGTTTGCATAACACCCAGTCTTTGTATAGACAGAATTTTAACCTGACTTTTTCGACCATTTTCCACTAGTCCGCATTTTACATGTGTAGTGGTTAGTGATAACATAACCTCAATTGGTTGTTGTGAAGCAAAATTTGTTCAGTTTTAAGTAAGAACAATGAAGGTAGAAGATTTGGCCCAGGTTTCCGCGTTTGCGAAATATAAAGAGAATGGATCGAAAAATAAGTCCCAGAAGGTATCAAATGCAGGCATTGTGAAGAAGAGCAAGAAACAATTAAAAAAGCAACAGCTTAAAAAGGCCCTTCAGCAAAAGAAAAATAAGGATATTGCAGAAAAGGAACCTAAGGTGCAAGTGACACCAAAGAATTCATCATCTAAAGAGGTCAAGCAAAACAAAAAATCAAAGAAGAAACCAGTTAAGCAAATAATTGAAGTTGAAGATAGTGATGATGAAGAAATTCCACAATTGATTGAGCCTTTCATTGAGGTGGAAGAGGCAACTCCTGAAACTGATTTATCAGGATTCTTGAAACAAACACCTAATATTAGTTTTCCAAAGAAAACTGAAACCTTATTGAAATGGTTATTACATCCTATCCTACCAAAGGATTTCTTTGAAGATTATTGGGAGGAGAGTCCTTTGTACATTAAGCATAATAATGAAAAATATTTTTCTCAAATATTAACTTCATCAGATATTGATTTAATGCTTCGAGAACATCCTCTGTATTTCAGCAGAAATGTGGATATGGTTATTTACAAGGATGGTTCAAGAATCACAGAAAATCCAGTCGGAAGAGCCAGAGCTAGTATTGTGTGGGATGCATATGCAGCTGGATATTCAATACGTATTTTAAATCCACAAACATACAATATAAAAGTACAATTGTTGCTTTCTACACTACAAGAATATTTTGGAACTATGGTTGGAGCAAATGTCTATTTAACACCAGCTGGTTCTCAAGGATTTGCTCCCCATTATGATGATATTGAAGCATTTGTCATTCAACTTGAAGGAAGGAAACATTGGAAATTATATAAACCTGTGTAAGTTCAATATAAATTACAATTAAGAATTCATTTTAATGTCTAGTTCATTTTAGCAATGATGATAGTAATCTAGCAAGATTTTCAAGCAATGATTTTAAAAGGGAAGAATTGGGTGAACCTTTAATTGAAGTCACTCTAAATGCTGGAGATTTATTATATTTCCCACGTGGTGTTGTGCACGAAGCTAAAACAGATGATGAAATGCATTCATTACACGTTACGTTGTCCACTTATCAACGTACAGCTTACGCCGATTTGTTGGAGGAATTATTACCACAAGCATTGCAAAGAGCTGCTGCAAACAACATAGAATATAGGTATGAACATACTTTGTATTAATTAGTACATTAAATACATTAACATACTTTATACCGAAATTACAGAAAGGGCTTGCCTATTGGTTACCTAAAGCACATGGGAGCGTTCAACAGCGACAACTCAGAAGTACGGCAGCAAATTGAAAAGAATGTTTGCAAGCTAATCAAAATGCTGCCAACATATGCATGCACCCCCACTGCAGTAGACAAGTTGGGACGCAAATTTATGCATGATGCTGTTCCACCAGTTCTCGATTTACAAGAAAAGGAATGCAGTTCAATGTACGACGGAGACAAATTATATAAAGGAAGATTGGTTGAAAGGTATTTCATTAAAACAACAGAATATAACGCAGATAATAACTTTATGTATAAACCATTTCAGAGCTGAAATTACTCCGGACACTGAGATTCGTATATTACGGTACTATGCAGTTAGATTGGTAGTCGAAAATCAAGAAGTGAACTTGTATTATTGCACCGAGAATTCCAAAGTATATCACGAGGAAGAACAACAGTATATAACCATTGATGCGGATATGATTCCAATTGTAGTGGATCTAATTAAAAGTTACCCGAAATTCTTGCCCGTGGAAAACTTACCATGCGACGATATGGAAAAGAAGATGAGTTTCATTACAACTTTGTGGGATTATGGTATTATTGTAACTAATGAGAGGCTTGAAATTAATGAAGACGATGACATCACTGATACCGATTCCAGTGACGATTAAGTTATGTGTTTATTCGTGACTGTTATTGTGATTTTTATTATTTCAAACGCATAATCTCGTGTAATGCATGTAGTAGGTCTTGAAATATATATACATATGTATATAAATCAATGACTTCAAATAATAATCGTGAATCTATGTGAATGAATATATTTGTTTCTTATTTTTAGAATCAATAACAGTGTTTATTATATCTTCTTGAAGATTAACCAATTATACTATAAGATACATTTTATTATACGGTTTTATTTACCATATTTCTGTTTTGTTTAGAATTTAATATTTTGTTTGTATTTAAATAAAATATTAAGTAATATTATTTTTTCGTGTTAAATTTCTCGCAGTTGGTAAATTAATCAATATTCAGCTGGTTGTCAACTGCTGTCAAAACCGGTGGTGCTGTCAGTTTTGCTGTCTGTTATATGCGCTATTTGTTGTATTAACTTGGCACAATTTAGATTACAATGGCGGATTTCGGAGATAATTTTGATCAAAGCGAAATTGATCCCGCTGCCGAATTCTTGGCCCGCGAGCAGGCGGAATTAGGAGTAATCGACGATCTTAAACCAATTTCAACGCCAGCGGTACAAACTGTAAATGGTGGTGAGTAATGGTACAACTGTATATACATTACATATACGCCCCTCAATATATTTATTTCTATTGAATACATTGGTTGCATGTTAATTGATGGATGCGCCAATTGGAAATTGGAATCTGTGTAAATAAAATATAATATATATATGTGTGTATTAATTGAGGAATCAATGTATGAAATGCAGCATGGAATTTTGCAAACAATATGTATATGTTTCACTGTACATATTTTTTATTATTATTTTATTTTATGTCTGTCTTATTATTAAGTTTTCGCTTTGAACTTGATAGATGGTGCTCCTCTTGATGTTCATAAAGAGAATTCTGGCTCAAGCTTTGAAATGATTGATGAGTTGGAACAAGAGGGCTTAGATGCTCCCCCAAAGCAAGAAACCAATTCCGGTACGTCTGCTTAGTATTAATTGGGATATAGGAAAAAAAAATATAATCAACCACTCATTTCTCACTCTATCCTCTACTGTGCCTATCCTTGCATGTAAATATTAAGTATCTGTATAATAACAAATATTTTCTTTTGTCTGTAGAGCTAAACTATTTTGATACAATGCATGAAAATGTTCAAGGTAAGATTTGTAATAAGTGTAGATAAGTTTCATTTTATCATTCCTGTATTCTTGAGCATGACCTTAATTACTTTTTGTTATTTCTGTAGATCCTTATTCATATGAAAATGATTTTGGACGTGAAGGTAAATTAATAGCTCTTGTACATGATATATACTTGTCGAATCAAGCAATTCAAATCGTCATTTATTTTAGTGTCTCCATCGCCGCCTTTATATAGGCAGGAAGTTCGCGAGGAGCCGGAAAAAATTAAGAAATGGAGAGAGGATCAGATCCAACGTCTCGAGGAAAAAGGTACTTTATTTCAATTATAAAACTGCAATGTCAACTTTATCCATATTTTATAGATATAGAAGAGGAGAAGAAAAGATTGGAATGGAGAGAGATTGCTAAAAAGGAATTGGAAGATTGGTATAAGAACCATGAAGAAACAATAGCCAAGACTAAAGCAGCAAACAGGTAAGATATATTAAATAAAATCTATTTCTCTTTGCTTTTGTAAATTGCTTTAATACTGTTCAATGTTTACATGCTTAACATAGGGATGCTGCAAAGTAAGTTTCATAAATGTCATTCTTTTGCTAGGAATGAGTTGACTTAATAGACTTTATAGTGAGTATTTTTTTGTTTATCTTTTAGGAATGCCGAGAAACAATTCGTAGCCGACGACAAAGAAATTGAGCCAGGAACTGAATGGGAAAGAATTGCCAAGTTGTGCGATTTCAATCCGAAAGCCAAGCAGGGCAGTAAAGATGTGTCTCGTATGCGTTCACTTATCTTACAAATGAAACAATCCCCGCTTCCTGTAAATAGCGCCTGAAGCACTAAACAGGATTAAACAATACAATTATATAAATCTAGAATTATGTTAAAAAAAAATATATTTAATACTTTACGACTTATTTTCGTATATTAATCTCTGATTTTTGCGATATGATGAATTCATTACATTATTTATATTTGTTTTATTAGCCAAATTGTTTCCGTACGTTTTTGTTTGCATTACATTAACATTCCCTTATATACAAAAGTGTTTCCAATAATTAAAATGTTGATCAATGTTACAGCAAATTAGAAATAATAAAAAAAACAGGCCGCAGTTGGTACTAATATATGGGTCTTAATTATTATTAATATTGCTTCAACGTCCTTCTTTGAGAAATAACGTATTAATTGAATTAAACAAAAACTCATTAAATGAATATAATAAATTAAATATATATATATAAATAAACAATCCTTCTATAAAACTAATTTGTTGGGTGCCCATTAGAAAAAATTAAAAACATAGTGATTTGTTCACCTGAAATTTAAAGAAAATTATATAAATTTTTATATAAAAAAATATATTGTATTACCATTCAATAGTCCAATTAATTTGCCTCAACTTCTGTAATTTTCCCTCCAGCAAGCTAAAGCAATTCACATCTGCAAAGAAGAAATAATTAATAATCATCAACTTTAACAAAATCATACCTATCATACTTTTGCAGTTGTAAACATCGAAAATTTTCAAGTTTGGACAATTCAATCCAATAAGACTGAACATATTTTCCGTCAAATTTGGACATTTAGATAAACGTATTTCTGTCAGATGTACACCACTTGGTCCATGTACTAAATGGTCAATTCCTTTATCAGATATCTAAAAACAATAATTTAAATTAATAAACCAAAATATAACATACAAATAGATAAGAAATTTGAAAAAAGTTACATTAGCTAAATTATTTCCTGCTATACGAGAGGATTTAATACAGACAATTGACTAATTCTATTAGTAAAGATAAAGTCATTCAAAAATTACGTGCATTAAGTTGGCAACATTATACACCCCAAAAGGCCGATAAGATTCGGTTATTCTTTGAGGTTACGTAGTACTGTTTCATGTTCGTTGAATATTAAAAGGTTTGAAGTAAATATTATTATTCTATTTAAATTAATTAGTAGATAGTAAAATAATACCTGCGTTTGTGAGCATGTCAAATATAATAAGTTTTCCAAACGTGCTATACCAATGATTGATTCATCTGTAATTTTTGTACAACCCCCAATGTCCAAGCCTGTTAATAATTTGCAATTATCTGCTACACACTGCAAAACATCGTCATCTACAGATTCGCATTTTGACAATGTCAATAATTTAACATATTTTAATTGAGGTATGAACTTTAGTAAGCCTATAATAATAAAAAAAATTATATGCATTGTTCTAATTGGAATATTAAGTATATTACTTACCATTCTTGGACAATGATTTCTCATCTACATTTTTTATTGACACTGCATCTAACTTCTTGCATGGCTGCAATATTTCCAATATCTCATCATTAACAGCACATGCCGTTAAATCTAATTTCCTAGCATCCTTATGGATCAACCGTCTCAGCATTTGTGGGAAATCAATGTTGTTCCATAAAAACTTTGCTTTTGTAAACTTGTGCAACAAATCGTTTTTGATGTTGGCTGGCAATATCGACAGCAGTTCCAATTCATCTGTGTTAAACTTTGCCATATTCTTAAACACACTTTCTGTGCTTCTGTAAAGTGGAAAAATATATGAATGGCATTTAATACCTATTTGACCTACATAGAAATACTCACAGATATAACAAGGAATTCATAGGTGACAGTATAGTTTTCTGGGCAAACATTTTACTAGGAATGAATTTCCGCTCTCGTAGCCCAATGTCACCCTTCAATTACCCCTTGTTTTATCGATATTCAATGGGCAGGTGGTCTCGACGCAATTTGTAAACAAACAAATCATGACCTTTTGTTTACATCGCGTAATCAATAATGCGCGGTTGCCATATCCTGTTATTACGTGGGTGTAACCAGGTGTTACTGCTACTTACTATTTCGCTCATATTGCTTGCTGTTAATATATTTGTTATATGATTTATTTATAACTTAGGTATTATGTAAACAGAATTAGCTGATTATAGATTTATTAATAGTGCTCATAATCGTAAAATAAAATTGTTTCAAATATTAGCGCGTTTTGATACATTTCCTTTTACTTTGCAACGCTGCCAAACAGTATTAAAGATAGTTCAAGGTAAAAGTATATTTTTATGCATATTTTGTAATTCCACCTTGCTTCTGAATATATTATTTAATTAATTCTCATAAGAATATAAGAAATACATATTTGAGAATTTCAAGTCACAAACATTGAATGGTTTTGAAATGAGAAAATTATTAATAAATTATCTTGAAGATAAAAGTAAATGCATATTTCTTGTTATTTCTAATATGTTCTGAAAGTAATAGAATATTTGAATATTTTTGTTCTTGTACAACTTGTGCAAATAATAAATTTGTTTTATACTGTTGTATTTCTTTAAATTTATGGTAATAAAGCATCAAATTGTGTCATTTCGTTTGAAGAAATATGTTTTAAGTCCAATTCAAATGTTAACGAAATCTAATCAATTACTAATTGTGTGCTATGCAACCAATATTACATTTAAAGGATTTAAATCATAGTTGGTAATTCTGAGCTGTATATTTTAACCATTAACTAAATTGACAGTTTGTTTCAGCCAATTTCAGATTCTTAAATTTTCAAGAAGCACGTTGGTTTACATAATTCTCAATAAAAAATAATACAATGACTGATTTTGGAGATAGCTTCGGAACCGGCGATAAAGCTGGAGACAAGGAATTGCAAGAGTTCTTAATGGTTGAAAAGCAAAAGGCACAATTCAATGCACAAGTAAGTAAGGTTATATTTTGCAGAGTATAGTGTACTAATGCAATGTTGCGTTCGCCGTAGATCCATGAATTCAACGATTTCTGCTGGGAGAAATGCGTAGACAAGGCTGGAAGCAAATTGGATGGACGCACTGAAACATGTTTGACGAATTGCGTTGATAGATTCATTGATGTGTCCCTGCTTATAACAAATAGATTTGCACAATTACTGCAAAAGAATGCAAATTGAACTATGTAAAATTTAATTAGTTTATGGTATATTTAGGAATTGTTTATTAAATTGTCCTTACTACAATATCACAGTTGTAATGAATAGATGATGTTGTAATCAGGTGTGAGAATGAAATAGACTTTATTACATTTGTTTCTAATGGGATGTGTTTTAATATACAAATGCAACAATCCTTTAATTTGTTTTTTGCTTTTTTTAAATTAATATAGAAGAAGCTACTCAGATATTTTATAAATTTGAGTGTCGAAGTTGTAATAATTCAACTCTTCATCAATCCAGTCGGTAAATAGGGCTACGTTGACGTAAACGCCGGGTGTATTTTGTATGCCACAAGTTAAACCCCAGGAAACGATACCAGTTTGTTCGTATCTGTCGAAATCGTCATTCACTGGACATATCAACGGACTACCGCCATCTCCCTTGCACGTGTCTTTATGCATTTCACCCCCTGCGCAAATAAAACTTGAGTGAAGATTGAAGCTAGCCCCTAGTCGGGCTCGCCGTAGACTGTGCAAGCAATTTTCTATTGGCATTATTGGTAAGTCGACTTTCTTCAACGTTGATTGGTATGTCCCCACTGTATGCGAATTTTTGCCCCACCCACTAGCAGTGCACCGCCTCCTGGTCTTCATTCTTTTTGCATAAGGTGGTAGACATACTACGCCCACGTTCTCTGTGAGCTTGAGTGGGTTGTCCAAAATTAGTATTGCTATATCATTTCGCAAGGAGGACGGATCATAGTGAGGATGAATGATTATCCTTTTAGTGAATCGGTCTTGATGTGGAATCGGCTCATTGTTGCTGGCCCAGTTCCATTCGCCTGCACGAACCTTAAACTTACCCAGATTCGAAACACAGTGTGCCGCCGTTATGGCGACTTGCGGATGAATTAAGGATGCACCACAAACATAAGCCCTATTTTGTAGTAAACCAAGCATCCACGGGAATTCAGCAAACTCCGCCACGCTTCCACCACCTTCAAGTATCCTAAACTTTGGACTGGCATATTTCAATCCGTTATTCAATCGGCCGCATTCTACTTTACAACACACGTCGAAATCACCAGTACAACTAGCGGATAGATCTGTTTCCTTTCTATTATCCCGAAAAACACTATAAATATCAATTCAAAATTATTATATTACCAATTTCAGAAGCCATTACCGTATATCTAATATATCCGATCCATCCTCCTCCACCAAACCGCTAAAGTCTTCTTTACATTGCCAATATGGAACGCACATACAATTATTGTAATTTTTCACTTCAACAAAACTATCCGAGAATGTCGTCGTCTGTAGGAAACTCGAATAAGAATCACAACATTTCGCGAAATATTGAGTCGTAAATAGAATGAATAATCTCCAAATAAACATATTTCGTCTGTCAAATTAACTGAAATAAAAATATTTATTTATTCTCTTTTTTAAGCATTTAAATATATCTATGAATTTGCATTGTGAATTTAGCAACAAAGAAATTTCAAAAATAGTTTCTCAACATGAATGCTTCCTCGGACATTTCGTCGTTGCTTCTTAATGGATTCGGATTATCATCTCGATCATGTTTAGCCAATTCAGAGTATATATCATCGTTTCTCTCAAAGTCGTTCGCTTTTCTAGGCAATATATGGCAATGAACTTGCTGTAATGAAATATAAGAATTACATATTGCATATGTTAGATTATGTTCTTAATTACCGGCACCGTTTGTCCAGCATGCTTTCCATCCTGTATGCATATTGTAGATGAGTCCGTGGATTGTACCCGTTCCATGACTTTCTGAACCCTAACAACAACATCAAAGAAATCCGCTAACTCTTCGGAATTTAAATCCTCTAAACGATTGGCACTTCGTAAGCTAGTAATCAGAACATCTGGAAAATTAAATAGAGAAATATACTTCTTGAAAGGAACATTGTTTCGTCAATTAAATTAAGGATACGTCCTGGAACCACACAACGTATATTGGTAAAAGCGTACACATACTTTGAACGCAGAAAAACCGTTGATGATGGTATTACAACTTTACCAAACATGTAATTATTATCATCCAACGAATTTTTCGGCTGATGGTTTAATTGTAAAGTGTAAACATCGTCGCGTCTATGTTGAAACACTGGCATTTGTTTTCGTACTTTTTGCAAATACTTTAGATCGATCTCAGCAAAAGCCAAACTCTCGTCTTCGCTTTTACCACAGTTTTCACTAAAAGGTCGACATTCAGCAACAATTTTACCCCAGGGATCAAATATCTAAAATAATTCAAATGAACTTATTCTATTAAAACACAATACTTGGTGCATACAATTGAATGGCCATGCGAAGTCCGTTTACTGTTGTGTATTCCAAATTGGGCAGCTGCTACAACATAGCATTGGTTTTCAATTGCCCTTGCTTTGAGCAAAGTAGACCAATGCGCTTTCCCTGTACTTGTAGTAAAAGCTGAAGGAAATGTCAAAATATCAGCACCCATTTTTCTTAAATGAGTACTTAGTTCTGGGAAACGCATATCATAGCACTAAATACATGAAGTCAATATTTTGAAATAAAATTTCTATTTGATATACATACAATTGATAATCCAATCAAACCAGCAGGCGTTTTTACAGGGGCCTGTATAATATCTCCACCATTAACATATTTGGATTCTTGTAAATTTATACCTTCATCAGGAAGTGATACATTGAACAAATGTAGTTTCCTATATACAGAGCAAATCTCTCCATTATTATCAATCAGAACATGGCTATTGTTTAGCTTCTACAATTACACATATGAATAAATGTTTTTTTTTTATAAATCGGATCTACAATCAGACATACATCATTTTCACTTTTTTCATGAAAACCACCAATAGATATCCAGATATCTTTCTCTTTAGCTAGACTTCTGTAACTAGTCATTAAAGGTCCATCCAAGGTTTCTGCAAATTCCACAGATTTTGTAGACGTAGATGCCACATAGTCTGTACATTCTGGAAAGAATGCAATCTGAGGGTACAGAATTTACAAGTTAGTATGATGCATATGCAAACAATGTCCAATTATGTAATTGATTACCTTGGCATTGTTATCAGCTGCTTTTGTTAAGAGGTTTTTTAAGCTCTCAAAATTTTTATTCTTGTCCTCGGTTGATGTCAATTGACAAACCGCGATTTTTGTGGTCTCCTCTGAGGACATGCTTCTTGACAAATGCCTCCAATTTGAAATAAAATTTAATAGTAACGGTTTGTTGGTTACCTTGGATATAATTAAGTGTCGCGCCAGCATTTAATTATCAATTCTGCAAACATATAAATAAGCTGAATATCATAGATGTTTAGCATACTAACTGCTATGTGCTAATTTAGTTGCATAGCCTCTATAATTCTAAGATTTGGATTAATTTGAATTCAACTTGTTATATCATTTAATTTAAATTACATTCATAAATATGTTTTTTTAATAAATTTTTATTATTGAAAACCAAATTTCCTTTTTAATTGAAGAATAATCTTATCTCACAAAAAATAGGTATGAAATACACAATAAAAATTGTCTACAATTTCATATTTAGATTATTAAGAGGTATACTGTATATACTTACTCTATTTACTTTATATTTCTGTTTTTTATTATAATACGAAGATTTTTTTTACATGACTATAGAAAAATTTATAACTTAGATTCATGTGCATGTTTTAAAATGTTCTGCTTTGCAGTAATTTTGTTATACTTGATTGGCTTTTCAAAAAGCGAAATTCTTCAAAATTGCACATGTTTACCATATTATCAATGTTCGGACGATACAGGCAATGTGGTGATGGACGGAAACGGACTAATCGATGTAAGGTAAAAAAGTGAAATATACTGTGTATGATACAATCATTGTAACTTGTTTCATATTCTCTACATTCTAGAGGATATAAAACTAGTAATTGTACTGGCTATTTCGATGTATGCTGTGACATTGCAAATGGACTGGTAACAACAGAGACATCGCAATTGGAAAGAAAAGGTTGCGGATATCACAACATGGAATCGGATTCGCAGTGGTCGGGTATCCTGCTGAATCACGAAATACCAGACCACGAAGGAATTTACAAATGCGGTGTCTCGTTAATTCATCCTCAAGTCGCTTTAACAGCTGCACATTGCTTACAATCGCCAAATAAATATTGGAGTATTAACATAGGTAAATAGGAATATGAAGCAAATGATTTTTTTTTAAATGTTTTGGTTTCTTCTTGTAGCTGATACATACAGACAAATTGTAAGTGTCGTTGTGCATCCGTATTATAATTCTGGAACGTTGCAAAATGATTTGGTTCTGCTATTCCTAAAGACTCCTTACAATCATGCCGAAATCGTGTGCATTCCGCCTCCGGGTACAATTCTGGATGGTTCTCATTGTTCGGCCATTACAAAAGATTTTAGCAAGATCAAAATAATTCAGTTGCCGATAGTCGGGAGGGCGAAATGCCAGAATTTATTGCGGGAAACCCGTCTAGGACCGTATTTTCAACTTCACTCAAGTTTTTTGTGTGCCGGAGGCGAAGATTTCCTAGACGTCTGTGAAGGAGATGGGGGGAGTCCTTTGATTTGTCCGATTCCTGCTCAAACGGACCGTTTCCATCAAGTGGGGATCGTGTCATGGGGAATCGGATGCGGGGAGAACAACACGCCAGGGGTTTACGTGGATCTATCAAAGTTCAGAGACTGGATCGACGAGGAAATGATTCGCAAAAACTTCAACATCAACACTTATAGATATTAAGAGATAATAACAATATATATTATTTATTTTGTTTTATACAATAATCAAAATTAAATACAACAATTAAGCATTCTTTTACCATAAAGACAAATAAATATATATCTTCTTAAATGCTTTTTGGTGTTTCCAATTTCTAAAATTAATTCACTTCTTCTCTAAATATAATATAATAAATATCTGATTTCGCTTCTTTATTTATTATTTTTTTCTTATTGAATCTGATATGAATTTTGTATGGGACACATAAAATGGATATGTTTCATCAGAGGGCCACCATCTAAAAAAGACGCTCGAGGGATAGAAGTCTTCTTAAATTAATTTGATTTCTTTTCGTGTCTTAGGAATGTACAATATATTCTCGGCCAATTCCCTGGAGCATCATCGTCAAGAAATTCTTATATAAAATAAATGCATAAACCATATAACAAATTTTGTAGATTGAACAGCAACAATAAAAAGAATTTGTGCCAGTCTGTAGTAACTATCACAGAACGTGTACAAAATAATAAGATAAATGCTACGGCGACAAATACATACAATAAAAAAATACAACAGACTAGTTAAATAATTATAAACAAAAACATTTTTTTTTTCTTTCAATAATAAATTTGATAACCCTTAGCGAATATAATAAAATGCAAAATATAATGTTATTCTAGGAGGGTACATGGACTTGGGGGAGAGGAAACATCAATGTATCAATCTCAATCCTAGGACCATTAAAGCAAAACATAATTATTTTTTCGCATTGGAGTTCTACAGTTAAGATTGATAAATATTCTGGACGTTAAACAGCTTTCGCCCAGAACGTAATTTACTTCTTTAATATATTACTCTTACATCCTATGTACATTAAAAATATATTCATATATGAAAAAATCAACAAAATAAAATAAACTCTCTTACGTCTCTTCCATTTTAAATATTTACAGTGAAATATATAATATTAATTTTAGCTGGTGTTACTCTTTGCGTATTTAGTCTAATTACTCGTTCATATTATTATCAAACCACTCAAAACTAATCAATTTGAACTGCTCTCACAATAATAAATTCCAAAATCTATATATAATCCATCAAGTTTTGTACTTTTCGCATTTTGGCGACATAATCACAGATTAGGTTGAGTGGTTCGGTATATATGCTCTCATTATCTTCTTCTTCTTCTTTTTTACATCCTATACATATTGGAAATCAAAACTTGCTCACCCTAATTGGTGGTGATGGTTATTAAAGTGGAGGGCTTTGGTGAAACCTTGGCGCAGTGTACTTGATAATTTTGAGAAGGAGCCACCCTGTCAGGGTAGCACTTCCACATAGTTTTCAGGTATCAAACCTGTTTTACCATTCAACGTCCCTTCCAACCATCCAGGTTCCTGCGACGATTTTACTGTAAAATTCAACGCTTTAATTGGATCTCTTGACATTAAAATGAATATATTACCGTTGGTGATTATTTGATTAGGCTCAAAAGATAGCTCTCCGTCATTTTCTCCCAAACAAGCATATAGTGTACGTACTCGTCTGAAATTAAATATAAATAATCCTTCGATCCCACAACACAATTATTACGAAAGCTAATTATTTATTATCATTACTTATGATACCGCTGAATGCCATAGCAATTTATTGTTCTTTAGCGCAATTTATATTCAACATTGTGTTATTGCAACAATTGCTGATAGTTTATTGTTTCAATTCATTGCCACTGGAGTTATTTTTACTTTCTCTTGATGATATTGGGTCGACTACGACAACTACGTATTTACAGAGAATGATGAATGATATATTATGTTAAACACATTAAATTTAATTGTTAATAAATATTAATATCGGAAATTTCTATTTCTTAACTTAGAAAACCTCACCTGAGTTTAGTAGGACTTGATCTACCACTTGAAGAAGAGCAAGCAGAATTTCGGTGCAAATACTCTAAATTCCTTTTATTTTATTAGAAAAGTTAGTATGTTAGTACAGGTCGCAGGGTGTTAGTTTATAATTAAATAAGTTTAGGTATTGAAACTTACACTGCTCTTTGATGTCTGTAAACTTTCGGATAAGACATGCCGATATTGCTTCGATTGCTTTTTTCCGGAGCTACGTGATTTAAATACGAATTACCTCCGTCACGCGAATTAGATGATATAGATTCATTGGAACTACTCGTACTATTCTCTGAAATCACGATTAAAGACCATTTCAGTTATATATGAAAAAAAAAAGAATAAATAAATCGCAATAGTACCTAATTTTCCATAAGCTCTAAAATTGGACGGACTGTAATTTTGAAGTGTTGGCAAATTGCTTTCAGATTGTGACGCATTATTATATCTCTGTAATGCGGCCTTATGATGGTGCATTGGAATACCACCGTTCGGCATTTCCGGCGATTTGTATAAAGATGATCTGCCGTTAGGGGATGTACCGCTCTCGTGAACATTATATAAACTTGATGTTATGCTCCCGCTGGCCCCGCCTACTGGGATCTGGTCATAACAGTTCTTAATTCAAGACACAAAATTATACACATTCTGAAGTTTAAAAAAAACAAAATATTTATACTCACCGAAGTAATTCCTTGCTGGGAATTCCTGCCGCTGTAAATTTTTCCATTATTAGTATACTCCGAGACGTCAGTATATGGATGATAGTTAAATCTCGAAGCAGTCGGATAATCAACATGCAGCTGCGACGAAGGGCGCATTATGACGTCATCTACATTGTCTTCGACTGCAGAAATTGCATTTGCTGTACCCGGGACGGGCGGTTCGCTATTGAAAATTCTATTATAGTTTTCAATTAATATTTCTACGACAATATTATAGAATTTTAAATCCACTATCGATGCAACAGTTTCCTCTTCCGGTCGCAGCAGTGTAGGACCAAAGCATACACCCAAATTACTTACAGTCATCAAGTTTTTATCACTTTTCGCGGCAACACTAAAAATAAATTTATTTACTCATTCAATTTCCAGATTAGAACCGTAAATAACACTCACTTGACTAAATGCTTCATAAGTATTTTCAAGACCTCAAAATTATTCGATGGTATGCGGTATATTAATGTGTGGACGTCATTTATGCGAGTTTGTCTGGAGTCATTTTCTAAATTAAAATAATAAAACTGTTAGTGAACAATTTGCCTCGCGATGATTTCATGTTTTCTGCACTTACTGACAGCTGCTATAAAGCCATTGTGATATCTGTGTGTCATTAATGGTTCCGGTAGATTTCGTAAGTAGTTTTTCAGGGCGCTCGTTATGGTTTTCGTTTCCCATTCTTGGGGATCGTCGAGTTGGGTGAGCTTGTCGCTTTTTCTGCGATCCAAGCCCATGTTCAGCAACTTCGTCACTTTAGATGTGACGCCGACGACCCTGTAAATGCCTTGCTCTTCCAGACCGCGACTTTCTAACACTTCTATGCATTTATTGACGAATTTTATGCCGAGCTCGTCGAGAATACGCTCCTCGGAATTATGCAATTTGTTGACATTTGTGTTCGGAGTTGTGTACGTCTGCAATGCACATCGCCGTTCGATTCGATGCTAATTAAAACTAATCGGAATACTTACGGGTTCTTTTCCGTCCATGATATCCATCCATGCTTTTCTATCCAGTTCATTGAGAGCCTGGAATGTATACAGATTTCCGGGTTTAGAATCGACTTGCAAATCGAAACAGAAACGCTTATCTATTGAATCTGACATTCGCCTTGTGCATGACGATAATACCATAATTTCCGGTTGAGGAATCTGAGCGGGTTCATAAAATAATTAACAGTTCAAACATATCTCAAGTTGCGCACTAACCGTTTTATTGGTGAGTTGATTGTAAGGAATCATCGAGAACTCTTTAGAATCCTTATCGTAAGTGCAATAGTGCTTAGTCCAAGACGTATGACCAAAGGTCTCTAAAAACAAAACAAAGCATGAATAACCACAATAGCGAAACTAAGACGGTCATCGATTTACTTTTTTCTAACAAAAATAAATATCCTTCTTTTCGGCCTTTGGTGTTTCTAACTGGGTCTTGCTGCTTTTGAATCTCCGCCATGCGTTTTCTTAGCTTGGAACTGTAATCTTCAAAATTGTCTCTGGTCTTTTGTATTCGCAATTGCAGGTCCTTCTTAAAGGGATTAAAGTCTTTGGCCACCTCGTAGCCTTGGTGGTAGAACGTTAACCAGCCAATCATAAAACCAAGTAGAGTTTCGACGAACTCGAATTTCTTTCTTTCGTGCACTTCCTGGATTAGGTACACATAATCCATGCTCGCATTGTAGAAGTGACGCTCCGCCATCCCCAGGTAAGCGTCAACCTAATAATCATCACAATGTTATATTTGGATGTATTATCTTGAAAGGAAATTGTTATTATACACTCGTAAATATGTTTTGACACAATTTCTAGAGGTACACAGACGGCGCATGAGCTTGCCCAGAAATTTTGAATCGATAAAACGGCGGCGTTCTCTACAAATCACGCGCGCGCGTTACAAAACTTGAAAACATTATAAATTAACACTTCCTCACTAATATCTTTTGTAATTCAATAATTCAATTAGCGTCAATAAACCCCCGTTAGCTGCCAGAAACTTTAGATTTCAAATGTCGACAAGATGAAAAATATATATATATATATAACATGGCATAATGTAAACGGAAACATCATGTGTTTTATTTAGGATTGTAAAGAACTTTAACCATATGTCTCGCAAGGGAGAGAAGGATGTTCGCCACATACAAGAGCGTGCATACGCACACATCGCTTGAAAATAGCATCTCTCACCTCTTTAATATCGTTTTGCTTTTTCGACGACAGATTCAGACATTTCTCCTGAGCTTGGCAGAATTTTGCGGTCTGCTTATCGAACCGCTTTTTCCCGGTTTTAACAGCCCCGATATGATGCTTCCTGAACATTTCCAAAGGATTTACGACTTGATTGTAGGCATTTTCCAGCTTAAAAAAAATACAAAATCATGAATACATTAATAACAATCATCTGATAAATTTGTTTACATTAAAATATTATCAGACACGTTTCGCTAGTTTATAAACCACGGTGAAAACAGATTAAATAGTATAAAGAAGCGCGTGAATCACAGGGTTTATAAATTTTGTTGAAACTGATAATGGGGCGTGAATAAATGGATAGGCAGCAATTGCATTTGCTTTCCTGGTCGAGAGAAATTTGTTGTTAGTTAGTTAGCATTACAGAACGGTTTTCGTGAATTGCATACGAAAATAAAGTATGTAGGTTGTGGCTTTTACGAAAACGGACGTAGAAATCAATTGTTTTTCGCAACAACATTCGAATATGCCACGGACAAAGAATAGTTTAAATAAAAAAATTATTAAAAAAATAAATTAAGAAACTCGACGTCCATAATGCACGCCAACAATTCATAAATTGTGAAAGTGCAGAGACGACCGTCCACAAAATGAGTCACTCACCATCCTATCGCGCTCGTCTTCGATGGAATTGATAAGGTTGCCGAACTCGTGCAGAGATTTGCAGATCACCATCTCGTCGTCCGTCTGTTTTCCGCCTATGCATTCGAACGTGAAGCTCTGCAGGCCCTTCGCGAAGGCCCTCTGACAGTTGCCTAAATCTGTAAAAAAAAATAAACACATAAAATGAAAATTTGCAGAGCATTTTTCATGTATTTGCAATTCATTTCCTCTCGATTCACGACCAATTGAACAGCGTAACGATTGATTCCAATATATCCTACTCTTCCATTATCTGTCGCTCTCTGTTGTTTTGTTTTTTTTATTATTATTATTATTTACGTTTAATGGTTCGCTATTTGAAGGTCGGTACGTGTATATAATAGGTTGAAACTCACGTCCCTGGTTTTGTTACATACACGGTTCGACTGCAATAACAAAACCAAATACAAATAAAATCATAAATAAAAGTATGGCCAGCATATTTTTTTCCATACTCCTTTTATCATGATCATCATGCAGTGCTATTCAAATGCATATATTTGTTCTTGGTAGTCTTCGTGTCTTGTGTATGAGAGTGTGTATGCTCTAACTGAAACATGACTCACTTATTATCTCTCACTTAGCCCCGATACCTTTGGTTCGGTTCGGAAACTCGATTCTTGTAGTGGCCTTCAGAATTTATGGCTTATGGAAAGAAAAACGGACGTATTTATAATAATAATATATTACAAACAGTTATACATATCTATATCTGACTGTATATATATAAACACAAACACACACGACAATCGAAAACAGGTGAATGTCGTCACCTGATAAAGGCGAAACAACTCGAAGCGTTCCAAAACACGATAAACCAAAGGAATTATCAAAAAAAATTATATTCCGTCTCTAAGGCGTCTTCGGCTAACTATTTATGTTGTGTCTACTTGCTTTCTAATTGATCCAACGCCAATCTCACTTTAATATCTTTCAATTCTTCTCACATTTAAATTACATACGTGTTTCTTTTATTTATATTCTTTCATATTTCACATCAATACAACTCACACGATTTACGTATTTACAGAAATTACTGATCAAAGATACAACTTAATAATACACTGAAATTAACAATAATTTCCTTTAAAGAAATGAGTATAACTTCTAATTACTTTCGTGGTTGATTGACTGATTACTAACGTAGATAATAAATATGCCTTATCTTAACTCGTGTCAATACTATTACATGCATTATTTGATTTAATATATGAAATAACATTAAATACTATCGTGCTTTCATTCTGTGGATCTTTATGTTTAAAGTAGACATTTAAATAAAACATATAACATATTTTTTAAATAATTTATTTTATATATAATCAAATAATATTATCACAAAACATGTATATATTGAAAGTTATAATTAACTGAATCGCTTAACATAGATTTAATCTAATTGATACATGTTTAGATAGTGTTCTGCAATATTTAGTAGTTATGTATCATTCCAACTATAAAACTTAAACGAATGTACATGTCATGTATTTCTAATGGATTTCCAAAGAATTGCATACAGAAAAGAAAATAACAAACAATGATTGATATTCGTGGTCAATTTGATTCGTCGCAGTACGTTCTCACGTCGTCACTTTCTACTTCTGACAGCTTTCAACATGTAGGCAGGCACATCCAATTTGTTAACAGACAGACACGATGGAATTGGTTTTGTCAATAGAATGTGACAGTCAACTAATTAATAATTTTAATTGTATATTTCATTAGACAAATGTCAAATCAACACTTAATTTACGATCAAGAAACAATCTTTATATAGTGATGATGATTATGATTCACATCCAAAAGTTTTTTAAATGACTATAATAAGAATACATTAGTAGTCTTTCCTTTTTAATGCATAATATATTTTTATAATAAAAGTTAATATTAAAATCATTAACAATAGCCTTGACTACGGTCTTTCCGCCAGAATTTTATTAGAAAATACTGATAACGAAGTTCCTTTGAAAACACTTCAAACTAAACAAATATATCATTATATTAGTTGAAGAATTCTTAGTCACTATTAGGAATGTAAGCATCGTTGCATCTTCAATAGAGTTGAAAGTTAAAACCAATAACTCAGCCACCGCACCATATTGAATGTAGTATTTGTGGGAGGTGGATATCATGCTATTAATTTACATGAAATCGGTGAAAAAAAATGTTAGTAATAGCATGAACAAATAAATAAATACTGCGAGACGGCGCTATAAGACAGTTAAGTGATCGTTAAAACTTTTTGAAGTGCTAATAAGCGCTTAAGGTCAATTGAATAACGTTTCTTTACGAAGCAATGAAAGTTTTAATAATCATAGAGTAAAGTAGGATCTGTTGGTCTTTAATCAAATAATAAATCACGAGGAAAATATGGGAGATTCGAAATCAATAGGCTGTGCCAAATCGAAAAAGTAGAAAATTAATTTTCTAATTAGATTGTATGTGTATGTTTGTTGGTGCAGTATGCTTTTACTTCGCTTTCCACTATCTCGATCATAAATCTATATAATGTGGCAGCTTCCATTGCATCGCAACGATTTATGATTTGAAAGGGTCAAGAGAGAAAAAAAGGGGCGACATTGAAAACACCCCTATCATTATCATCATCAACGCACGCAATGGCAAATTGACACAATTAAATTCGCATTCGTTTTCATTCCGGTTCGAGGTGAAAAGGCAGGTGCATTTAGCATTTAGAAATTGAAACGCCTGCAAAAAGTAAATTAATAATTACTTAATTGAACGGAAAACTAGTTTTTCGCCATCGCGCATTGCAATAATAAATCTATATAATCACACGCGGTTGCTTTCTTCACTGCAAATAGAAAGTTTTTATTTATTTATTTATTTATTCCTTCGTTCTTTCTACGTACATATTAAATAGAAAGAAAGACACAAAAACTCCCATAAGATTAAATTATATACATTTGAATAAACAAAAAAAAGCTGTTCGTTTGTGTGTGTCTGTGTTGCTGAGATAAATTAAAGCGGGTTATGCAATTGGCTTTTAAAGTAAAAGTGAAAGGTTTCGATATTTTCCACGTATATTGAAAACATCGTTCGAAATTTCGCGTCTGGGAGCAGCTCGAGCAGTTCTATAGCAATCTCACATCCAATTAACAAATTATATCGATAATATTTTAATAATTAATTTAAATGAATCAATTATGAATTTTGAGATAATCCGCTGTATGTGTGTTTTTTATCTTCGTGATTTGGAACAACAAAATGCACAAGGTTAGAGAACATGCGCCACACTTGCATCGGTTACAGTTTCGTATATCAGCACTCATTCTTGTGGCTGGTTATTTGCGTAATTACAATTAAAAAACAATCGCATTTCACTTCTGTCAGCGCGAAGGCGGCTATGCTTCAAACTCCTTTTTTTCCATTCCTTTCTTTTAATTTTTGTTTTGTTTGCTCGATTCCGATGCCGTGCTGCAACGGATGCAAATTGTTTTCGCTCGTACATCTAGGGGTTCCGGAATTTTGTGATTTACGTAGCTGCAAACTATTGATTGGCGTCGCGACGCCGGCTGCCGCCTCCGCAGCCAGCCAGTTCAACGACCCGCAGGCCCTCCAAATAAGCCCTTCAGTAATATTCTTTGGCCCAGCCAATGTAATTCGAGACAAAGGATTCGCTGTCTGCTGAAAGGATCATCGTGCAGTTGGATATTTTCAAGCGCTGCTATGTTTGTAGCAGTCATTACATTCTAGAACTACTAGTGGTCTGTAGTTCACTTGAAACTAATAATTATATTTATTCAAAAAATCCTAGTTATCTATGATAACAACATTATTAATCTAGTAGATTTAATACCCATATCTGGATAAAAATCTGCACTAAAAGATAATGGTGCGTGTACAATATTCCTAACACATGTGAACTGGATTCGTTGAATTGTTAAGATGTTTGACATCCTATTCTTATGCATATAATAAATACCACACATACTCATAGTTGCTTATTTCGCGATTTACAGCTAGAACTTAGTGGAAACTTACTGTGTTTCATTGAAAATCAATATAAAATATATAAAATTAAGCTTTATAATAAAGAAATAATTGAAAAGTATCACACAAATATTAATAATAATATAAACACATATTTAATTGTAACTACGAATAGCAAAAGTACTTCAAATAAAAAAAAGATCTAGAGTCCACACATGAAATTAAGAAAGTTAACAAAGCAACGACAATGACACAGACTCTCCGAAGATTCAGTGGAACTCTCTCATTCACTCACGTGAGTGAGTGCTTTTATTGTGTGTACTCGGTAAATAATTAGGCCACGGAATAGTATAAAAAAAAGATCGTAGATCAATTTCCTACGTGCGGAGGAGATCAAGTGTTAGACACCATGGTGATTCATAAGGAAATCTTGCACCGTAGTAAGTTTATTATTATAAACGCAACATAAATTTTATTAAAAATTGCTGCTCGGTGCGCAATATAAAATGTTACACTAACAAACTTATAATTTATTGCACAGAAAAAAAATGTGTGCTTCATATCGACGATGTAAACAATTTATTATTTTAATGGGCGTAGAAAAATAAATACGTTGTTTTTCTTTTGCATTTCTAAATTCATAATATGAATTTTCCACTAACCTATTTATTTTGTTTCCGCTTCAAAAATATATAGACTGCTTTGCTGTATAACAAAATATTCCTAGATCTTATGAATATTACGAGTATAACAGAAAGAAATTATGGTTTTAGTTTCTTTTCTCAGGAAATTAACTTACCTGATTTTGAATGTCAATGTTCTTGACTTCAAAGTGAAGATATGCGCATATGTTTAAGATGATGCTTCAGATAACAGTTATTTCTCCGAAACTGTTGCGAGGAACTAATATCATATGTAACTTCATTAGTTGCTTCAGATTCATAATTTTCATTACTAAGTGATAATTAAATTTTAGGTACCAATTTTATACTTCAAAATATATACAATCGTTTACATATGTTCATGTATAATGTATGAACGATGACTAAAAAAAACAATATCTATCAATTTTAAAAATTAGTATACAAACTCCACAAAACAACAATAAATATATATGGATAATCAACAGCAGATATTAGAATTTTAAGGATTAGAAATATGCGATTAAAGACGTACATATATATAATAGTAGTAAATAATTACTCATAATATCCTCTCAACTAAATGTCCAATCATATGTGAATCTACACTATATGATAAAACCTCATGAATGTCTCATGCATTGATAACACAAAATATAAAATCATATCAGTAGTTGCTAATTGCTTTCAAACGTGCGTTTGCACAGTTTAATTCTGCTAAATTATATTCAATTTAGATTGTAAAAAAAATGATTATGTGGGATGTATAATTTAAATAACTTTTTTTAGAAAACCGTACTATAATTTCCATTCCTTGACAGTTACAGTTACCTTTCAATGAATCAAATATAAAATATCCACATAGCTGAAATAAACAACAGAAAATGTCATTGAATTAAAATACACATGTTCTTACAAGATTATACAAAACGATGTTGGAATAGTAATTATTCAGTACAATTTCGTCTATTTTAGAATGGGATAATTGAATACATGAATACAATTACTTTTAAAACAACAGAAATGAAAGTATTGATAAGGAGTTAAAGGTCAAAGGGTCTGGTGACCTTCTGTTGTGTATAAGAATATAGTATTCTTAAATATATAGAACTAATTGAGCGAGTAAAATGAACGGTAATTTTATTAATACATGTTAAATAACCTTTAATAGACAGATCAAGTGGATTTTAATATTCATATAAAATGAAAGTAAATGCAGCAACACCAACACCATACAAATATGGTATACTAAACTGTATTTCAATAATTAAAACAAGATAATCGAACATTATTATGAAGAATTCGAATCTTATCAGACAGTAATTGGAATCAACTAGTTAAGTGTCAATGGTTTGTCATCTGTTTGAAAACAAAAACAAAATTTAAATGGAACTAGCCTGAAGCGAGAAGATTGAAGAACAAAAAAAAAATACTGAGCAGGAAGCGAGAATGAAAAGAGCTCGAAACTTACGTTTAGCCGCTGTTAATAGATCTTTCACCTCTTTGATGAGCCTCTTGATCTGTTGATTGGTGTACTCCAATTCCTTCTCGTGCTTGTGCAGATTGTCGCGAAACGTTGGACTGTCCCCGATGCACTCGGTGAATTCCAATGGCGGCAATCCTACACCCATTTTCATAGCACACTTTACACTCATCTAATTGTAATATATTTGTTCTAAACAACAAACAAACACGTCTGGTAAACAGAGGGCAAACAAAATGAGAAGACTGACAAAAACTTTAATTCTACCAGTAAAAATGTGCGAACGAGGTACTGTCCCACTTTCATTTAATCACACACGTAACTGTTTACATTGTCATGCATTTGATTTGTTCTTCAATGGGTTTATTGTATCGACCGGCAGTTCTTTATTTTACAAAAAAACTTCAAAAATAAACAAACAGGAGCTTGAAATTGAGTACACCTCTCTCCACAGCGTTTCAAACTCGACTGATTGGGATTGGGAGGATTGGTTTCGGGATGCCGCTATGATGCAACCTGTTGCTTCAACCATTTACTCCATCTACTAAACAACGCGCACATTAAACCAGTCCATAAACGTGATATGTTTATTTTCAAAAGTTCAAATGAAAACAATCAATTTGTATATAGTCCTAAGTAAATATTGGCTATTTATGACTTCAAAACATAAACGTAAATTAAATCCATCTGTTCTTCATTCTTTAAATAGGCAACCATAGGTTCATATAGATCCAACTTATCTATGTACAATTCGAACTGAATACAAAACATTTTTTGCCATCAGATTGTTGATTTTTTAAATTGAGATCTAGATTAAATCAAGAATCTATATCCAAAAATAGTATCTTTAACTATGCTATCGTATTAAGTTGGCAGTACCAGAAAGATGGAGTCCGAGAAACCCGGGAGCGTTCAACAAGGTAAAACTATTTTTAATTATTTTAACAACTTATAAGCTTTTCACGGTACAATTAGCGTATAATAAAATTCTATACTTAATCTACTTTAAATCTGTTAGAAGCTTTTTTAATTTGCTATTTGTAAAATATTATAAATCTTCATTTAACTGTTGAACAGTTTGTGTGTAGGTTAAGTTATATTTTGAGCTGTCAAATGTAAAACGAAATCTTGGTTTGTTTATCCAGGGAGTTCTGAGGACGATCAACACAGTTTTGACGAGTTTGAGCAAAGTTTAATAAGCATGGAGAATATCGACAGGACGTCGCCCGAACTCTGGCCGGAAAAATGTAAGTGCTGAAGTATTTTATTGTGAATTAAATTACCTATTAAAAAAACTAAACAGTTCCAGGCCTTACTGATTTTATAAGCAGCTATGCCAATTTGAATACAACCAAGTTGCCTTACAATAAAAAGTTCAATCATGAAGACCAGACATATATGAACCGTAAATATAGAAAACACAATATTCTTATCAATTGTAAAACTGTTAATTTTATCTAGAATTATCAACTCTGTCTACATCATCACTTGTATCCAAAGTCAAGGAACTACATGATATAACATACCAATTGGGCTTAGAAGAATCAAAAGAAATGACCCGTGGGAAGTACCTAAATATATTCAACAGGAAGATACGCAAGGAAAAGTGATGAAAGGAATAGGAACTGTTAAGTATTTTATGAGTACATTTGTTTTTAATTTAGACAGTTCTTTTGTTATACTATTGTTTACTGCTGGAATTATTATATATTGTTTAATTAAGATGTGGTCATAAATTAAGTATAATTTATTAATGTGGACACTTTATTATAACATTCAAACATAAAGTATCATTTCCTTTGTTCTTTTAATGAAATGAAATTAGTATTAATGCCTTAAAATAGTTTAAGATGAAAAAAAAGTTTTTATCTTTATATATATAAATGATAAGGACTAGCAATTGTACATTATAAATATAACAAGTGTTTAAACTAAGTATATAAAAGTATTTTTTTAATGAGATAAGCATTATGCTTTCCAATCCTTGAAAAAACTAGTTTTGGAGAAAACGCAAGTTGCATATATTGTGACACACTTCTTTGCAGTTCATGTGTAGTTAAGCAGAATGGAATACGTGCATTTCTTATTTTAAAAACTTCGAATTTCTTGAATTCAAATAAATAGAAATCACTTGTTCATCTTATCTATGATACGGTCCATTGCAGGACGCTCGTATCTTTACCACCGACTGAGACCAATCGCGAGTCATCGTGTATAAATGTAACGTTGGTCACATGGCTGCTGTGTCCCCCATAGACGTGGTTCAATGACTACAATAGTTAAATGATTATTACTATTCGAACTATATGCACATTTCGATTATACCTTAGGCTGGGAAACCGGATATGAATATAACTTGATCTTTCCGAAGTCATCGCCTGTTGCCATCAATGTATCAACGCTGTTGGTACAACAGGCATTTACATCTGTTCCATCGGCGTTCTCGGGCCAAATACCAACGGTTCCGAAACTTAATGTGCATGTATTTGTAGCCCATTTTATATCCTTCATGGTAGAGCTTTGCACTATTTGCCTGCAAGTTGTAGCATTCCCTAAAATAAGAATTGTTATTTTTAGAAATACTTTACTAGAAAAGTAAATGTCTTACAGTATAGAAGTTCGTAGTCTCCAGAATTACTACGCAACGATTGGTTATCCTCTGCCCAATCTATATGTGTTATGAAACTAGAATGGCCCTATAATTAAAGATTTAATAGAATACTACAATGCTGAGGATATTTGTTATATTACAAGGCATTTTCCAATTCTCGAGAACCTATATTGTTCGGAGACTTGGTAAATATAAATGTTGTTATCTCTTGAACCAACTGCGAGAAGGTTACCATCTGGAGAGAAGGTAATTGTCTGTATTGGTTCATCGCCGTCCTTGTATTTTCCCAAAAACTCGCGGCTCTGCGTATCGAAAACCAACCATTGGCCATCCAAACAACCAACGACCACCACACAACCATCACTCGAGAATGCGATACTATGAGCTTGTTCCTAAAAAATAAACATAAACCATTAGAATTTCATTCTACATTTGCTTACAATAAAATATTTACCCCAATATCTTTACTCCACAAAATACTGTGCGACATGGAATCCCACATTTGCAGTAATTTATCTTGACCTGCAGTAGCGAATTGCGGTACGCTGGGATGGGCAGCCAGAGCCCATAATTCATCGGCATGTCCCAAGACAATCGGCTGAAAAGCTAAACCAACTGTGCCAACCAAAATGCAGTTTCTGGTTGTACCTAGGAGTAATTGCGAGCCTCTTCCTTCCGATACCACCCTCACGCCACCGAAATGCTTTTCGATGGTAATCTCCTCCCTATTTTTCGAAAGGTTCGGATCGAACTGAACCAATTTTCCATCCTTACCGCCACCAGTAATAACGCTTCCATCCTTGGTCACACAGATCGAGAAAATTCCGCCTTCGTGAACGTTCTTAATGAACTTTTGAACAGTGTTTGTGCCTCTTCCCCAAATCGCCAGATTTCCGTTAGAGTCTCCAGTAATAACATCTCCAGACTGTAAGAACGCAACGGAAAGGACGAATTTTGGTTTATCACGACTTTCGAAGATTCCCATACGCTTGTAGAGAGTGCCACCCGCATCCAAGGTCCAAAAAGCGATGTGATTTTTACCGCAAGTTACGATGTTATTTCTGTCCAATGGATGGAATTCGGCGGCTACCACCGTATCAACGGAGCACTGGAAAAAAACATGTTATTAATGGTATAATTAACAACGTAAAAACCAGTTTCATAAGGCAAAAGACCGTGGCATATGAAATTAATGTATGGCATACAATTATGGCGCAATTAAGGGGAGAACATGAAATCATTATATTGGGAACCTACTTTGGTTTCGGTAATTTTGTGACCGTTTTCTCCTTTTTGCCAATCCCAGACGGAGATCATGTGATCTTGAGCCTCGTCGACGGCTAGCAAGAGTGACCCACCATCTGCTTTGCTAAACGATATGCAGCATACGGATACATTGAACTCGTTCACTCCAATTATAGCCTGAGTATGCAGCGAAACAGAATTCCAAATCCGGATGTGCGGCCTTGCATCTCTTTTATCGTGGCCGGCGCATTGTCCGGTTGCTACCAGCAATTTATTCGGATGAATGGCCAAACTGTCGAAAAATTCAAATTAAAAACATTTTCCAAATTAATTTCATTTTCGCGTATCCTCTTTACCTCTTCACATCATCCGTGTGGCCCAAATAATGCCGCTGGTTTTGTTCTTCAACGTTGTAAAGGACAACGACGGCTGCTACGAAATATACCATTTCACCGGTCGGAAGTAGGTACAGGTTGGAGCGACAATCCCTGCCGCGATATCCGTATGCCCAATCCAGTTTCAACCTTTCAGAAGGTGCCGTGGATACCTTCGTCAGGTCGAAACTGTCGGCAATATCGGTCGGAGCGTGCAGGATGACAGGACGCCCACGCAAGTACATCTTGAGCGTTTGGTCATCTTCATTATAACTTACATCACGGGTGCTGCGAATAAATACATTCGAATTAATTCAACTGATTTATTGCAGTCAATTTTATTTTCGTTTAAACCCACATGCGACAGAGTTCATGAATTGCTTGACCAACCAAATGCAAAACATATTACATGCGATGAGTAATAACGAAAATAAATAACAACAGGTTTTCCGCATTAAAACGCCACTTGACAAAAATAAAAAGAGAGAGTTCGATATATGAAACTTTATCTGGGTTACAATCAGAATACGATGACGTATTAATATATTTTTATTGTAATTATTAAACTATTATGAAATTAGTTTACGCCTTCCACTTTGGATAATTGGATTTGATTAAGTGTTTAGAATTTGAACTGCGTTTGAGTTACCTGCTCATGTTGATGATGAGAGTGTTTCTACTGGACTGTCGCGACTGGCTTACAGAATTGTACTAAAAGGATGTAATTGTGTTTTTGGAAAGTTCCACTTCTGAACAGCTCGTTTTTACCGTGTGAGCGGCCAAGCGCAGAGCCAGAAAGGAACTGGATGAAAATATCGACGCGAATTCCAAGTAGCGTTAATAACATTAGTGCAGATGCGCTATACAATGCGAGCTTACGCAAAACATATTTATCATCACGCGATAACAATATAATTAATTTAATAATGATAAAGTCTTTAATTAAATAGATTTATTAAATTGAATGTATGAAAATATATGAAACATATTGTAGAAAATATTTTAAACAGTAGTTAGTTGGTTAACCACAGTTAAATTAAACATTGATTAACGTTTAATTGATAATGAATTTCAGTTAATACATTTCAGGCAACTTGGACAAACTTCAAAAATATATTATTTTATAAACTAAAATTGACCAAACCCTGAATAAATATTTTTTGTTTAGTTTAGGAAGTATTACGAAAATATTCTCCAAATTATTATTAAAATAGATAATAAAATGGTGTTCTGTTTAATCAAAACACTTAATTATGGACGTAGACATTTATGAAGCCCTTAAATGTTGTTTACACTGCAGAGCTTCATGAACAAGAATAACAATAATATTCCATGTACTTACATTAAATAATTTACCTAATAATGAAATTAATACTTATTTTCTATATAATTTAGTTATTTAATGAAATTTAATTAAATTTTATTTTTATTTAATAACATTTTTGTAATCCACTAAATAAGTATTCAAATTTAATTAAATTTCCTAGAAATAAGAAGTAAATATTATTACTTCATTAAATGTGACTATGTTATGTGTTAATATATTAGAATTAAGTAGTGTTAGTGAGGATTATGATTTAAATTTTATGTTAATTGAAATTTGTGTTAACCCAGAAGACCAAAAAGTAAAATTTCAAAAAAGAAAACAAACCCGTGCTTTATATTGGACGATGAGGTTGTTGACGGTTTCATATATAAATTCAAAAAGGATTTTGTGGAAAATCTAAAAACAAAAAAGTAAATAATATAATATAATAGAAAGGTCCAATTGAATAATATGTAATTATATTCAAAAAATATATTACATATGTTGAATAAAATAAAACAATGAAATTGTTTACAAAAATAAGAAGGAAACAATTTAGTGGTAATAGAAAAAATAAACACACCATTTTCAATGGCATTGAGCATTTTGTTTGTATCGTGGAATTGTTGTGATTTAACAAATGTTTGTGACATAACTCGTGTTGTAGCAACAATTTCTATGCAGTTTAGGTTGGGCATTAAATATTTCATTACATTAAGTTCGATAAGTAACGAGCTTCGACATCTATGACAACAAATGTAATGAAATTGCTGTTGCTATAAACAAAAACATATTGTTGCTAGTGGAATAATTTGTGTGTTCGAGAATTTTTCTATTTTTAGTTAAGAATTGCGTGGGAAAAAATATTGTTTTTTTGTGTGTAAACTTCCTTCGAATTGGCGAAGAGTTCTCGAGATTTTTTAAAGTTGATTTGCATATTTAACTCAAGATGATTGGAGATTTTTTTAAAGTGTTACGTGGGTTCTCCAACGCAACTGGTAACAAAAAAAATCAATTAAAATTTGAGAAATACAAAAAAAAATATTTTCTTTACATTATCACTAAAAATTAACACTTTAGTATTGATTATAAAATCATTGAATTTACAATTTTATATAAATAAAAATAAGATATTTAGAATAAAATGACATCATCACAAGATCATGTGATTTCCTCACGTAATATAAGTTTCTAAGTATTTTAGTTAAGCAAATAACAAAATCCATAAATGATGTATTTGAAATTTGATATAATTTCTGATGTTTAAAATTACTTTAAAAAGTAATATTAACGGATCAGAAATAAAATTAATGTAATACAGTATAGTGAAACATATTCAAAAATACACACGCAATCCGGGACTTCTCTTCACATCGTCAATCGTTATGCGAAACGTCGCTTTTTTATTAAAAGTCATTTTTCTTAAAATTAATTTTGCTCGTTAAGCGAAATGCTCGTTATACCTCGCATAAGCGAGGTTCCACTGCATGTTATAATTACTAAGAAGGTTACATTAATATTACAATAAGAAGTTTATTCGACGTTCAATTTAATTATACACAGTTGCTTGAAAGTCTTACTTCAATTTCCTGTAATTATGTTTAGATATCAATATTCATTGAAAATTATCATTTAATATCTATTTCATTTATTTGTTGTGCATATACGTAGTGGATTTATTTAATAAGACTTTTACCACAACGGAATTTCCCTTTCTATTGGACGATGTCACAAATAAATTATTAGAAAATTCCATTTTAATTGCTGGTATTTTTAATATCCTCGTATTTTTTTATTCTTGAAGAGTAGTAGAATACGTGCTTTGAATAATAAGTATGTGAGTTATTTGTTCAAATTCATATTAATATCAAACGTTTCAAAAAATAAATTGAAATAAGAAAACTTTATATTTGTCCACTTAGTCGGTAATATAAATCTAGTCATTAGTATTTTTTTATATACATTCATCATCTATGCTATGTAATGTGACGTTATTAATATATACTAATTGAGAGGTTAAAGATCATGTTGATTTAGTGGTAGTCCAGATTAATGGAGCTAAGATTAATAAAAGTTTGTCTGAATTAGAGTCAATGATGACACTTGACGGTATACGACCCGTTAAACGACGGACAAGGTATTTGTTTACGGATTAGCGAGACTCTACTAATACTAATTGTAATGGTGCTAAAATAGTTAAACATATTTTTTTGCGTGAATACAAAGTTAAGCTATCTTGTATTTGAACTAACACATTTTCAGCATGATACAAATCATTGATATAAATATTACAAAATCTAAAACATTGAGATCATTTCACAAATAAAGTTGATGTTTTAATATTGGTATTTATGATTGTAGTAATACGCTAAGATAATTGAGATTTGTTTCATTAATTATAATGTGTTGTATACAAGTTCGGAAGTTAGCCGCCCCTTGCAATGATTGTAGACATCTTACTTTAATGATACATATGAAAAAAAACGTTATCTTTCGTAGTAATTTATAGATCAATGCAAACTGATTTGAAGTACATTGATTGTTACTCAGTATTAATGATTATATATATTTAATATAAATAAGTTTATTTATAAATAATGATAGAATAATCTTCATTTGTTATGTATTGATTGTTAATATAATGTAATAGTTGTGAGGTTTCTCTAATTAATTGGTATATTTTGATATATATTGAATTTTGTATATAATGTGATGACACACAGACCTTGATTATTGAATATTGTAACATATTTTTCTGTAATTGATAAATGCAAATTGCTTTTAGTGATGAAGATGCGCCGTCAAGTTGTGTTTACTTACTTCGATTGCATATTAATGTGCTGGTTGAAATCGCCGGTAGAGCTCCACCTTTTATGTAAGGTGGTGGTCTGTGAGGGCGATACCAAAGGCGGCCTCTTGCTCAAGGGCTGCGGGGTAGCCCTCGGAGAAGGCGATGGCACAGGGGATACACTGCTTGAGCTCTGGCTGTCACTATGTAAAGATCCAGTCGACTGGTAATGGATGGCACGTCTCTGCGGCAAAGAACTGCCGGCATAGCTTTTCCTATTCAAATCAGTTCTAAAAATGGAGAACAGAAGTAAATAATTTATACCAAATAACAACTGTCGATAGAAGTTACCTGGAGGCTGAGTAACTTGTGGGACGTTTGAGGACCGGTGCGTTTGTTGGGGTCGTCGCATGTCCTCCATTTCGAGCCTGCACTGGTGTCGTTACAATTTGATGCGCTAATCGTGATCCTTCGAGGATGTTTATTCTTCGCAAAGCCTCCGCCAATGTAGCTTTCAAACACACCAATTCATCGCCCTGCTCCAAGACTCTTCTCTCCAGATCCACCACCCTGTTCGCAACCCCCCGACTCTCAGTCTCCATCATCTCATCTAAAACAGGGCAAGAAAAACAACATTAGAACCATATTTACATTGACTCTTGTGTCCGAATCAAACGCAATCTGCACTCACTGTATGCATTTACCAGACGCATGTTCTGTATCGCCGTTTTGTACAAACTCATTTTGACAATATTTTTGTTCTCAACAGCAGAAGAATCCGATCACATATTTACAATAATCGCACGCGGTTCACTACACGAAAAGCTAAGAGTAATGAATCTAAGTTAGTTAGTGTGTGCGACAGCTAATGAATAGGTCAATAAAATAAAACTGTGATATGGAAAAAGGTCATTCCGATAATCTACATATAATAAATAATACATATTGCATTACGCATTCATCGGAAACGGACGAAATGTACCATACATTTCGTATTCTTTACAAACAACATTTCTGTATCTCAGGTACAAACTATATTTGAATACAAGAAACGTAAATGGTAAAATAAGAAATAAAGATTCATAATATTAAAACGTTGAAAATAATTATATACAAAAAAATGGTGCTTTCTAATGTGCATTAAATCTTTTCTACAGATGACCATCTCACTGATGACCACTACATATTCGAGACGATGACGAAATAACGTATCTGAATGCCCGGGAATTCCCTAACTCTTGCTTAGAGAAATAACTAAAAGTTTGCGCTCGACATTGAATAAGCGGTCGTGAGTTGGGAGGTCACCTGCAATCATCTAAGGATCTACGGAAAATCACAAAGAAAAATCGACAAACAATTTTCTAACTACAAGGCGACACAAACTGCAAATTTTTAATCCCGTTTTCTCCCTAAATGAAAATTTGCAATTTCACCGCTCCAATAAAACTCACGCCAAGCTTCAGAAACATCCCTTTCCAACTGCGGATCCATATAACTTTTTTCCAACTTCAATTCCATTTGTACATTGCCTCCATTTTTACTCGAATCCGATTCCATGTCACTTACTTTTGCGTAACAGAAAAAGAAATAATTATTTTAAAAATTTGAAAAAAACTCTTCCGGAAACTCTTATGCAACATCACTTGCATTACACTCCATCCGGTTGCATATGGTTTCAGTAGGCGCGATCGTACTATTATTTAAATCTCACCAAGGTTATTGCAAAGTTTTAAACTTTATTTATTTACATTTTAGTTTATCACCATTATTATTATTTTTTGTTCATGTTCATTTTATTCACTTGCTGGGAGAAGCTACGTTATAAATCACTCTACTTTAAATCACAAGTTTTATTTGGATAAACTGTTTTCCTTGTTGTTTATTTTTTTCGTCGTTTCGCTAATTAAAATAACAATCGAAGCGTTGGGTAACGCGTCGCGCAGAAAGTGAAATTGTTTATGTAATTACGGTTTTGAAATTGAAATTATTTTCACCGGGATTTGCATTTTGTTTGGTTTGCATTATTGTCGTATTTGTTTAGTTTATTGCATCGTATTGTTCGTGGTAAAGGTCTTCTTCGACGCGGTTCAGGATTCCTGCATGCGTTTGCTCGTTCGCTTCCTTTTGTTTTCTCTCAGATGCTCTTCTCCCTCGATGCACTCTGTCTCATTGTTTCGGCGTTGTTCACGATTCGCGCTGGACTGATTTGTCTCCCTCTGTTCAAACTGGATCCTAGGATTCTGGTTGAGTCGTCCATGGGAGCGAAAAGCAGAGACGCGTCGTCGCGAAATTGAGCGCGTGGGAGAGGGCGTCGAAAATCCTGATATGATGGTGATGCACACACACACATACAAACTCCAAACAGATCGATATGATATGTTTTCTCTTCACGATTTTCCCATAATCAACATTCTATTCTTTCTCTTTGCAGAATTTCACTCAACTCTCAGGTAATCCACACATTCCGACACCATTGTTTCATATTATATAGCACGACGCCAGAAGGTGCACTGACGCAACGCATAATTAGTTGTTTATGCAACTGCATACTTTTGGATTTTAATTAGATAAGATATTATCTTTATTGTCGTCTAATCGCAAACACAAAAATGGGTCGACCGGATGCACCTTGAAGAAGAAAGATGTAAACTAGGAAACATTTTGAAAATGCTGTACCCTATACGTTTTTGCTATGATATTTTAGTATCGAGAAACGAATTAATATCAATGGAAGAAAATCATCACTTACACAAGGTAAACATTAAACTGATTATTATCTACATCAATAGATTCATTGTCGTTATCTATTATAAATGCATTTCAATTGAATATAGAACAATATATAAGTTAACAATAAAAAAATAAACAAATTAATATTTATATGCTAATAAAGATATTGTTTATTTTAATTATAAAATTTCAATATATTTATACAGCAAACAATAATATTATGAATTTATTGAAACATTAAAGTCCACATATATTTAATGATTGTTTACATTTATTCATAAATAAACTTGATTATAACAAAACTTTGATATAACATAATTAATCCAATTGATACAAATACATTTAGGTTTTATCATCATAAAAAACGCATTTTTTTAATATTTGATTAATAATCTTAATATTATTATTTTTTAGTGCATTTTATATTAATAAACTCACCATCATAAATAGATATCAAAATTAATTATATAAGTGAGTCATAAATATAAATAATATTTTTGTATGTAGCGATTTGTATTCTTTTAGCGATGAACTTGACATACATAGAAATGAATAAGAGGATAATAAATATTCAGCACATCGAAGCAATTGGATTATATGTACCATAAAGTAGAAGAAATAATATAACGCTAAAACTTATTGAGAATTACAAATTATAGTGCAAAATTTCAAATTGTTTTACAATAGATTAACATGAAAGTCATAGATAATAATTATGTCGTATAATTCATTTGATTTGTTTATATTTTTAAATTATCGTACAAAACAAGAAGAATTATATACATAAAATAAATTTAATGGAAATTAATAGACTTGAATATTTGATTATTAATATAATTGCTATTCAGAGGATAACTTATGTACTTTAGTATCGATCTGGCGCACTCCAGTTATAATGCAAAACGCCTACACGCTTCATTACACGCCGCACAATAGTTTTCTGCATGAAGGGCAGCTTCTAATTATCTTTTTTTTTAATTAGCAGCATATGGGCAAACCCATGCGCAGCATTGTGCGATAATCAATTAAGAGTCTAAGCTGCGATAATTTGAGAACATGCCTCCAACAAAACACCAAAACGGGACTTCATTGAAACTTAAATCTGCTTCAAATACTGTAAATCAAAAACAACAATTATGTGGGAGAGTGTAAATAATAGCCAATTAAGTTCCAATCGATTACTTCGATCACACGAAGCATGAATTTTTTACCTGCAATAATTCTATTTATAAACAAAGTGTTGTTATAAGTTAACCTTCAGGTGACTTCACTTTCGGCTCAATCGCTGTTTTTCTGGCTTTGTTGTTGTGTATATAACAACAAATTATGAAGCTGCGATAAAAAGTTTTTTAATCACTTTAATTGCTGTGGGAGTTTTAATCCAACGGATGGGCGTTCAAACTTGTATGCTTCAAGGGTGGGCACGGTATATTTAATAATTTATTTATTAAATATTAATTTATGTTATGCGTGTTCTGTGAAATGTGAATTAAAGTTGAGATTATGAAAAAAAAATGTTGTTACTCAGATGAGAAGTATTACAAAATCAATGTCGTCGGAATGTTGGAAATTTTATAAACCTTATGATCTCCAGTCATGTGCAAACATCTCGGAAACGGCAAATGCTCCAATAGTCGTGCAATGTCATGAAAATCAAGGTAATATTGAAATTAACATTTCTTAAATAAATTGTTGAAAAACCTAAACCGAACTTTGTAATGAACAGTGTAATGAATCAATGTAGTATTGATATTCATCAATGTCGCCAGTAATAGACAAAAGGTCACGAAGTTAACTTTATATTCGACAAAATCGACCACCAACGTGTGCATCATTATTTTTAACCAGACAATTAATATTAGAAATCACAAAGATATTATGGACCCAAATATCCTTGAACTTACATTTTGTAGGCGTTTTTTTTTTTATTAAATTTACAATAAAAACATTAATTTATAAATCTATAAACACCTACGTTGTTTCCTTTTAAATTAACAAGTTTCCGTATTAAAAAAAAACAAATTTAATGCTAAATTAGTACTAAATCTATATATTATAAAATGACATTTAATAATTGACATGAAAATTAAGCTACGTGTCAAGCTGCAATGGGTGATAAAGATAGTATTAAGATATTTGTAAAAGTAACTCAAATCACATAATAGACACAAATATGTCTAGTGAGAAAAAGCTCAAAATTATTATAATAAATATTATGATAATTCAAGGATTATATCAAAGAATGTCTATTGTTAAAAATCTGTTGATTTAACGTCGAATAGACAAAGATTTGAAGGTAAACTAAATGTTCAAATTGAAGGTAACTTAATATAAGTTGTTAAAGAAGATTATTATGAAGTCTGTATTCACGCTACGAAAAGGATGTAATTTAAATTGCTGGGAAAAACTACTCCAATCCTGTTCTTTGTTTGATTTATCACCGTAAACTCAAGCATTTTCGTTACAATTCGCAGAAGTGGACATCACAAAAAAAACAGGTTATATAATCTGTTTCAATATTCTATCTATAAAGAAAGAGGTGGCTTCGAATTTCGCCGAAACGAGCAGATATGCGCGTACCGAATATTTGGATAGAGAGCTTTAAAATATGCAGAGCATGCAACGAACTATGTTATTTGCATAAACGCGCTTTTAATGTAATTGTATAGCGGGAGTGTTCGTTCGCTGCATAAGCCATTCTGTTTTTTTTTTTAATTTCGTAGCTCTACAAGCCGCATAGTGGGTCAAATTAGGACGTTTACATGTGTTACGAAATTGAAGAAGGAAAAAGCGGTGTGCGTTTCGAATGCGTGAAACTCGATTAAATAAATTTATACGGTCCCTGTTAAATCATTTACTGGATATCACAATGATGCAACATTGAGATGAACCACATTTGCATCGATAGTATTCGAATACCATATCTTATTTCAATACAGATTCGTAATTCATCACTCAAGTGTATTTAATGTAATTAAAGCAACGCACTGAGTTTCGTTCAAATAATATTTAGATCAAATACTGATTACAATTATATTTCTATTATTAGTTAATTCTACTTTTTACGACATATTTCAATCAGAATTAACACAAAATATTTATTAAGATGATTCAGGAAGTGACAAAAGTTTCGAGGAAGTAATTTAGAATTCCTGGGAAATTGCAAATAGGGATGTTTTACAATGGCTTTCAGTTTCTCTCGTCTCTACCGAAAGTTTTTGTGTTTCCGTTTCAGACCGGAAATCGTATAAGATTTCTAAATAAGTAGAACATCCACATATAATATTTAATAATACAGACTTTTACGGCTTTAATTCAAATCTATATTTTTTAAACGAGAATATTGTTAGAATTCAATATTTGTGTTCTCTACTAAAGAAATGCTGATTTTATAAAGCATAAGTTTATTTATTATTTTCTATAATAATTTTACTCTGTTTGTAAAACGTGACTTCCAAAAGATAATATAAAAACGCTGGTGGTCCAAAAATGTAAATATTTGTTATGTTAATTAGAGTCTCAAGAAAATCAGGTTTCTTATTATTTAAAATTCTAAACTATGAAAGAATCGTTGAAAATAAAAGTCATGTATCTATAAATACACTTCTTTATAGCAATCATTCGTATTTGCTTAGATAATTATTCGTAAACCAAGTGACGTCGCCTTAATAATTAAATAATTATTTATTTATTGTTGGTCCTAATGGCGAAAATTGTATATAGATAAGTTAATAACTTGAAAATACTCATAACCAGATCTCCATTCTGACGAATTTGTGTGATAAAAATAAACATATGAGATAATATAATACGTTGACAGGTTGATTACGAGTACGTAAGACTCGATATTTTAGTTTATTTTTTTAAGCGCACTTTGTTCGTATGCATAATAGAATTTCACAATGTACAATAACTAATATTTCCATGGACACGATAAGTGGGATTTACTGGTAGACCTCGCACAATATGGATTTCGCAATGCTGATATTACATGAACGACAAAACACTTTTTTTTCCAAGCACTAATTGTATTATTCTTAATAGAAATATGAAGTAAAAATTATAATTTTTATAATAAAAAAATGTCTGTAAACTGCTCATAAACATATAATTTAAAATAATATTAAATATTTAATGTTCGTTGTTTGAATAACATATAAATCTTTGTGATTTATTTAGATGAGATGAAATTAATAAATATTGACGTTTCATTGGTGGGAATGAAATAAATAAATTAAAGTAAATTGCCTCGAACGCTAGCCAGTCTGAATGAATGCGATGCTGTGGCTCGAAGCAGTATTTGCTTAATGGCCAATGTGTATACTGTCATTTTTATAAATAGTAAATCCTGGTACGTGTGCATTGAAGCAAAGATTCCGACAAGATAATTAACGAGCCACAAATATTTAAGCGCAGAAATTGCAAATACTTGACAAACGGACGGACATATCGATTCATCTTGGGCGAAGAGCAAAAAGGAAATCTATTTGACAAAACGTCAATTTCCTGTGTTACTTAGCATCCTCATTCCTCGCGGACTTCCTCCTATCATACGAACACAATTAGAATTTAGCTCGCGCGCGCGATCGCTTACACACAAACGGCATATTCCAAATGCGATTTCCCAGCAAGTAATTTATGCAAATTTATACTCAAGGATAGTGCGGACAGTTTCAAAACTGCCGTCGAAGAAATTCTAAAATAATAATAACAATAAAAAATAAATAAAAGGCAAGCAAAATGAATGAGAGAATTTTTCCATAGGAAAAGGTGTGCGGATGGGAACCTCCTCGAGCGTAAATCCCGTCCAGTCAAAAAGAGACGAACAATCCCATTGCGATTGAAACAGAATATATATGTTAGCGGCAAAGTGTATATAATGACAGTATTCTATACAATGCCTGGGCATTCTGATTTTGATAAAGTCTATAAAAACATATCTTATATAGTACTAATAGATCTTTATTAGCTCATTCAGAGCAAATGGATAAACAACAATCTAAACAACACTTATTTAGATAATTTGTTTAAAACATACATAGGAAATTAAATGCTTTTCTTCAAAGTCGAATGTTTTATTTTTATGTTATTTGATTCTTCCACTTCAGACAATTCAATTCGATTTGCCGTAAGTACGTAATTCAAAAGGTGACCAGATTTTAATTTTGGTAATGCGGAATAAAATCGATGAATCTGTGACAAAAAAACTACTTATAGCTGATTCAAATCTCGTAGTTTTTTCGTTACTATCAAAATTTTTAAAATGTATTAGTTTTTGATTAAATAATTACAACTCGTCAATATACAAAATTCAATATATATTAGTTTACGAGTAAAAACAAAATAAATTTTATTATGAAATTGCTTTCTTTCAAAAACAGAACATTCCAACATAAACAACTGTAAACATATTAAAAAAGTAAACAAAATTACAAGTTTGGACGTGGGACAAATTGTTCAAAATCGGGGCTGTCCCCATAAAACGCATGGTTTAGTTTAAAACAATGTAATTCCCAATAGTTATTTTGTAGAATGGCTATGAATTGCACGGAATGCCGAAATTATACACTTCGCCGCTGACATATATATACTCACCATTCTCATTCGGTGATTCGGCCGAGTTGTCGAAGATCCGCATCTTTGTTGATTCGTTCGCTTGCCTCACACTCTCAGTTCATCAACTTGTTCATCATCTGCAAAAAAGAGAGAAACAGGACGATTTACAAACAAAAGGAGTATTAGCGAAGGCCGTTTGCCGGATCATTATAGGCCGAGATAACGATTTTAGAAAGTGTGTACGGAGCACGTGAATAGTTAATAATAATGATACAGAGAAAAAGCGCTCATTTCGCCCGACAACGAAGATCCGTTCCTTTCTCATAGCTGGATGGATGATGCACAATTTCCTGCCGACTAAATTTACATACACATCCATTTGCTTTTCGAGAAATTGGGGGTAGCACAGATCCTGATAGAAAGTCACTGAATGCGTAGACATATTTTTTTTCTGTTATTATTATTACTATTTCCTCCGTCCGAGATCGCCCGAGATGCACGGTGCGAATGCATCTTATTTTTCCTTCGAAAGTTTTAGTGGTATAGTACGGTTAGGTATGCATAATCTTAGAATCCACCTGTATTCCTTATGGAGGCAATGAACTGTATGATAGGCCGGACACAATCGCAGCTAAAGATTACGCTTATTAACTAACGCGCTCGCTCTCATCATCTTCTCGTCCTCCTCATTCCCTCCTTTATTCGTCTCCACGAGCGGATAATCGTGTGAATCAAAACTTTAATAGTTGCCATTAAAACCTTGCACTTAATTATAATCTATATTTAGAAAAGCCTACATTTATTGTTACACACGTAGAACTGGTCAACAGAGAGAAGAAAAAAAAAAGGCTAACGAAAGTAATTCGAACGCAACTTTTACAAAACGCAGCTAATAAGCGTTTAATTAATGCAATTATTTGCTTGAACTTTAAAAGACTCATTTTTTTTATCGTAGCACCTCAATACGCTCAGTCAGTCTTTTTTGAGTTACAAAAACACTTTTCAAACATTTAACTAAATTAACAACAACAGCTGTTGAACATTTACAAACATTCCAATTTGAATTAAATATAAATATGTTTTATATTAAAAAAAAGGCAGATGGCTTGTATATTAAAGCATTTCTAAGGAAACAAATGGCGGATCATTTGACTTGTGCTGTGCTGGTATTTTGATTTGAATATTAGTTGCAACGAGGAATGCGCCTAAGGCCGGAATTCTTCAAGTCCGATTGTCTGATAAAACACCGTGTAGAAAGTTGTAATGCGTTAGGTTGTTGTATTGGAACTCGAACTCGATTCCAATGACTAATCAAAACCCATTTGGCGAATAAATCACGTGCACGTGGAAAAGCAGGGTGAGTGGGCCTTGGCCCCACCCTTGAGCCTAAAAATATATAACGTGCTGTTTACTTTTTAATTCCATTATATGGCTGGAGCGAGAAACTATATGTGATCATTAATCCACATCGGTTGTATGTGTCTATGTAATTCGTGACTAGTATATTGGAAATACACTCTGTAGCAATTACTATTAGTATAATTGCCCCATAATAATCTCATATCAGAAATGTATTGGAATATAGTTAACTTTGGCACAGCAAATTTTAAACTCTTTGTGATTGATATCTTCAATTTAAATCATATTTATGATCATATTTATATTATTTAAGAAATAAAACTCCAATTGCTAAATTATAATACTCGTTTATCTATTTTTATTTACCTTTGTATTAAGTTAACTTTGATGAAATTGATTTTGAAATCTTAGATAAAGATAATAGAAGTTTTTGTTAATTCCAATAACAAGAGGATCTAAAAACCGCCAGTCGCATAATATTGAGCTTTTAAAAAATTAAAGAAAGCGTTGTGAATCGTCGAAGTGGAAAAGAGCAGACAAGAAGTTAACGGTTGGGATAGGAAGTCCCAGCGTGGTCAGTCGACCTTACACCCTCGGATAATTATCATTTTGGGTCGCTGCAAGACCGTCTCTCTAAAACGACAGGAAGTTTTCTCGCTTCATATACGCATGCAAGGCTGTTCACTTTCGATTCATTTTTCGACTTGAACTTCTTCACCAATGCCATCGAGATAACTGTTAACTTAATAGATACAAAAGTGAAAATAAGGATAAAAAACACACCGATCAAGAGAAAAGAAAAACATTTTAGTCATTATTATAAATTATAGGAAGAAACAATAACAAAAAATAAATTATGAAAATTAGTTGAAGAATATACTTTCATAATAATCTTGAATATCTTTTTCGTAGCATTAGCCATCCGTTGCAAGTATTTTAGAACGTAAATCCTTATACAATTCGATTTTGTTAAATAATAATGGAAATAAAAGAGAGAAAAAGCAACAAGTTTATTATTCATGAATAATTCGCTCGCATTTGAATAAAATGCACTGTTTTTACTTATTATACACTTGATGCAAAAAAAAGTATGCGATACATAATTTATGCATTAGCTTGTGTAAGCGAAAACGATAATAAACTGCAGTTTTTCTAACAAATACAATTTCGTTCATTTCAATTTATAAAATGCAAAATATTGATTTCTATCAAATAATTTCGTAATCAATAAATTTGTTATTATAATAACAACAGTCTTAACTTCATTAGGAATCTAAACAATATGAATGAAAGGGTTAATTTTTGTTAATGTTTTTATTCGCATTTTTTTGCAACGTTTTAAATCCTTTGTTTTAACATACAAAAGAATTTTGACGTATGCATTTTATGAAATGAAAAATGTAATGATTTTTCGCTTTTTGTATTTATTGTATAAACTGGTTTCGAAAAGGCAAATTCTCATTAAAATTTAATAATTTAGGTAAGATGTGGAATTAACCGGATTTCGAGAATACTCTCAAGTAAATCAAGTAATAACAACATTGATTAAACAAAATTTTTTAAAAAAGGTCTGAATTTCGTTTTTATGCATAAAAGTAAAAGATAATTTCTATGATGAGCATAATTGGAGAGAAGGTTGAAAAAACAAGTATTAAATTATAGAATATTGCACGTGGGAATTTACACCAACCGTTAGTAATGAAAATATTAAGATTATTTTCCAGGCGTAACGATCTGAGAACGGATGCAGTATAAAATGTAGATGCTGCTTCATCTTGTATTTACGTGTATACCAGCGAATCCCAACCCGGGATACGTTTAGATACGTACAGAAAAAAGTTAGTTATTATGGTAAAAAAAAATGTTATTAATTTAAAGTTACAACATGCAAAATTAACATCACGGTTACTGACTAAATTTCTTAATTGAAGGAAATGATGTGTTAAGGGTACGCTAATGTAGAAAGGTTGGAATTTGCTGGTATATACAAATACATATAGATGTGTTGTATGTGTGTTTTTAGAACCGCTTCCCCCTTGGTTCCATTGTGTACCGGAGCGCGGTTAGTCTTAAATGAAAGAGGAAGTGAGCCACTGTTTTGTTTGGAACGTGGTTCCCATAACCGAAGACCTGAGACAATGGAGGCCATCGCAGAAGAATAAGAAGAAGACCTACACATACACACAGAGAGAAAACAAGAGACAATGCTTCTTCGCATATCAAATTTTCGAATCGCGAAAAACGCTGCATACTTTCACACATCCATTGCTCAATTTACCATCGCACACGGTGTTCAGATGCATTCCGCTTCTTCTATATTTTTTTGAAATAAATTATTACTCGAAATTTATGCAGGAACGCGTTTGCAATTTAAGCGCCATTTAGTTGCGCTCTCTTACCCAAACACGCCCACATCATCGCCGTCCGTTTGCCTTCGCTAATTCAAAAAAAAACGCGCGCAAGGTGGAAAACTAAGAACACATTTCGGTCTTCTCGCACGAGGGGAAAACGTTTAATTGATGGGATGGGAAGAGAGGTACAATTTAATACAAGAAAAGAAAAAAAACGGACTCAACACCTGTTCGTAACATATTGTCGATGGAGGACGTTGCGTTTGGGGTTACTGCTAACGGAAATTGAAACATTTGCTTCCCACCGAACAGGTGCAGATTATTAACTTTTATTCAAATCCTCGCACGCAATTGAAGCAAAACTGTGTCGATGCCAGAAAGTGTATTGTTATTATCGTTTAACTAATAAAAAGAAATCAACATACAATGCAACTCGGATAAATAATCCAGAATGGTTTAAACTCAATATTGCATAATCGTCTGGATTGGTCCACCGTAAAAGAAATAGAAATCAACAGGCTGATGACCTTAAGACTTTCTTTCTCGTGCATAAATACTCCATAAAGAAATGTACACACGCTTCGATCCAGCATAATTAAAACGTATTATATAAACGTAACGTTTAGTTATCAGTTCAAAATCGACAAATATTTATTAGTAATATATTCAAATAGTGCAGAAGTAAAGTTTGCTTTTCAATTAGAGGATGCGTTTAGCTCATTATTTGATTTACTGTAAATTGTCTGTTAACAAATAAAAGACCAGTTGTTTCTAATTACTATTGGTAGTTTCGAAAAGACATGCTAACATGGATGAAGCAGCTTTCGCTATTTACCAGGAGATTGTTGCTTTGGCCATCTCCAAAATCAAATCACCTCCAATTAAAATAAACCTATATTTATTCGCAACTAGTCTGGTATGTCCGGTATGACCTCCGCCTAGAAATTATATTTAACGGTATAAATTAATTCGAAATTAGTGGAACACGTACGGTCGCAAAACTAGAAACTAGCATAAATCATAAGTAACGAAATACAACGCGATATAGCCAATCTAATCCATAAATAAATAATAAAATGATCAATATGTTTGTATATGTTTGTTTTTAGATTAAACGGAATTTTTTTTAATAAAATTTAGCATGTTAGATATGATGAAATTCATAAAATATTAATTTATATGCGGATATTGCTGTACATATTTGTTATTGTTTTTTTTTTGAAGATTTTATTTGAAATTTATATTGGAATTTATTTTAGCATATTTTTATGGAAATCGGTTTGAAAGAACGGACGTCGACCTCAGTCTTTCACCCGTAATTGTTTATGATTACGTCTACTTTATGCATTTGCATTGCGTAACTCAGGAAGACCGAGCAACAACTAGTGAAATTTCCTTTTTTAGCGAAACAAGCATAATCTACATAATAGTTGATCGACTTTAACGAGAAATCGATCGTTATTAAAATTTGCATTATATTTGCGTTCCAAAAACAGGTAGTTTTACTTGATTTTTGCCTTCAAAATTGCAAGTTCTAAATAATTTATAGACTTTATTGAAAAATACCATACTGAAAAAAAGTTACAATCCGTTAAAAAAGCATAATCCGTTCAAAAATTTCCGGATTTTTACTCGTATAGTGAAAGAATTTTCGTCACTAATTTAATTTTTCTTACAATTTATTTTGCTCGTTAAGCGAAATGTATATATATATTAATTACTCAAATGTATATCATGAATATAAATTGAAATGAATATCTGTAGATTTACAATCAAATTTAGTTATTTTCACTAAATTAGTATTTTATTTGTTTTAATTTCTTGTTTAATAGCATGCATTCCAACATGAAAGTTTATGAGAAACGACTTGCATAGTTGTAAACGTTGTTACGGCAATGAGTTATTTTATTGTTATTATTCACAAAGCCTTCTTCGAGGAACTTTTAAGCACCTCCGGTAATAATTATCTTACGTAAATTTCATTGTATAATTTTAGAAGTGACAACGATGTTGTTTTTTTTCTCTCTTTTTGCGCGTTCTTCGTATTTCTTTTCGACCAAAGTTTAACCATGTTTTAAATTTTGAAAAACGTAGATATCTCAACTCTTCGGATAGATTCTTTTAATCTCTCGATATTCTTGTTCGTCTGTGCATTCTGCATCGCGAACCGGTGAGTCACTTCTTCGCAATGCCTTTTACAGAAACAAAAAGACTGTGAACGTGAATCGACCATGTACGTATCAAACGCAAATCTTGACCCCGATATATATAGAGATTTATTAATAATTTATCACAGGTATTCTTTGTATATATTTATATAAACTTTTTTTTTTGATTGCCTTAATTGCGTCTACCAATTTTGGTATCATCGAGGCCGAAGTTTCAGAGGACGAAGACGAGAAAATCGCGAATATTTGAACTTCAGCCGTACGAAATTTGAAACGGCGCAACAAGTTTGACTGGATTTCGCTCCTTCGTTTTATTATTATTATTTTCTTCTTCCTTCCTCTTCGCGAAAGTGAAACAGACAGCAAAGCCGAAAACGAAACTTGATGTACTCTTGAAACTGACTGGCCTTAAGGCTCTTACGAACTTTCCCCATAAAAGGAGAGGATTGTCCGAATCAATTAATTTGCAACAATCGAATAAAGCGATCGTCGGAGAAACAACAATCCCGATAAGTGCTTTAAACGAAAGTACTAATAGATGTTATGTCAGTAGAAAGCAAAATTACGTAAATAAGAAGAATTCGTGTAAACATTGGAATATACCATAGGAGTTTACCTGCAATGGACTACGTTTTATTTTATGTTGTGTGTGTTTTTTATTTCGTTGATTCTTCCTCCGTCTTCGAATTTGTATTTTTCTGGAAATATCACTCTCACAATTGTTTGTTTAAGGGATTTTGAATGAACCACCAGAACACACAAATCGCGTACACACAAATAGACACAGGTAGTTTTTGAATAAAAATATTTGTTGAGGAGCGCGGTTTCACTGCCGTTGAATTCCTTGCGATGCGACGTTCGAAGTGAAATGAACGAATTCGTACTGCGAGTTTCTCAGGTGAATGCCGCCTGTTGCTTGCTTTCTGCTCTTCCCACCCCGCAGCACTAGGAACTTGCTAAGGACATTCTCGGTATGCGAAGCTGCATAGGTAATATAGCATTTGAATAGTTCGGAAAAGAGCCCGAACCTGATAACCTGCTTCGAACGCACTTATCATATCTGCAATCTAATCTTATCAACCGACACATATTATATTTTTCGTTAATTACTCTGGTAATTTTAACTTTATTTGATACATGGTACAAATTCACTATTATTGTTATTATATTATAATTAAAAATAATTGTATTAACAATAATATTAAATGAATAATAATTAATAACAAATTTCGTAACAAAAAATGATATTTTTTTAAAATATAAATTTATTTAAATTGCAATTTTATGAATAAATATAGATAGAGAACGATACTTATTTGCAATAATAATATGCAGAAAGGCCAATGACCGAATTAAAAAAAGGATTATAAAAGTTTATTGCGTTCGTAAAATGAAATACAGATAGATGTTTCATTAGTTAAAACTATCGTAAATAATCTATTTTTTTTCTAGACAATTTTAAATCATCCAACATATATAAATCAGTAAACATATAATTGTAATTGTTTAGTGAAAGAGTAAACAAAGCAATTATTTTCTTCGTTCGTATTTTTTTCTGAACCATTAAAGTTTCTCTCAGTTAAAATTTTAATTTAATTAATTTTAAGTATTTCCTATTTACTTATTTCGTGAAATTACAACACACTAGTTTTTTTTTTAATTTATGTAAACTAATATTACATATTACGAGATTAGCAACAGCTTGAAAAGTGAACGCTGCCATTCGATCTGCAGAATAAGTGGGTCTTAACCAACTAGTTAAACTTGAATTAATTAATGACAATATATTTCTAGTCTTTATTATGATCTTCAACATGTTTAAATGTAAGAGATAAGTTTGAACATTTTGGTATATTACATTTAAGCGTTTGGTTTCTGTTCAACAAATGATTGTTAACACACCTTCATTAATTACATGTATATAATTTTCATTTACAAGTATAAATCTTCTTAGAGGATTCGGTGGAACATGTTTGGTTTTCTTGTTTAATGTTACACAATCTTCGCTTTTCATGGTACCTGGGTTCATCTAATACTAACGTATATAAATTATTAATCCAAAAATCGTTTATTTCAGCTTACAAAGCATCATCATTTAAATTTATAAACAAGAATAACTTATATCAAAGCATATGTAAATGTAGAACTCATTCAAATTTATAATGTAATTGTTCATTGGCATTTTCCATTTGATATTGACTACAAATAAATGATCAGTTTTATGTAAATAAAAATTTGTTAAAATCCACATGAATTCTATTTAGCGTAAATATGAATAATGCAACGCTAAAAGTATCACTTTTTAAAACTAATTGTTAAATCAGAATCATTTGCATTCAAATATATGCAATATGCTCGGATGTAATAAATTACTTTACAGTTTATATAATCATTTATTAATTATGCAACTGTAGTTTTGTCCTTTTTTATTATAGTTTAATTATATATTTGTGCATAATCAAAATGAAGTTTAATTTATATTTTGAAATCTGAAATAATGGTAAGGTTGTAGGTATTTAATTGATTACAATTACGTTTTTTAATTGGTTTAATTGAAGGTCATATGATGCACATTTTATGTAAACGCAGTGTACTTTTGTTTAAATAAAAGATTGTAAAGGTTTTGTTAAATCATTGAAATTTGCTTTAACATTGAAATAAATGTTCTACGTATTCACGTAGACAACAGAATAATGATTAAGTGCCACTTAAGTATATTATACTGCTTACCATATATGTACGCAAAATTTCAATAATATTGAGATGGACTCTTAGCAACATAAGTTCAAGGATGTGTAGGCTACATAATAGGATTAAACAATACGTATCGGTAAATGTTTTGCATTTAAAAAAAATAAATATACAAAGTATTGGACAAATATTTAGATATATTAGATTGTTCATTGAATTTCATTCGGTTCTAATAGTATCGTCTACAAAGTTCAAAATATATCACAGTTTTCTGGAACCGCAAATATATGTATGTACATTAATTACATGTATTAGAAAATAATAATAATAATAATAAAAAAAACAATTTTGTTGTGCCTACCAAACGGAATGCATCTAAGGCGGTCAATAAAAACTCCTAAATCGTGTTACGTAATAAATCGTTTCATTTATTCCCCATTCGGATCAAAAAACAAAGCAGAGAATGCAAACAGCAAAAATACGATTCCACCGATTATAGTTACTAGAACAAAAAATATTTCGTTAATGGCATCCGAACTTGCAATTCAGTCAATATAACTGTACCTGTTCTGACAGAAATTTTTTGGGCGATCATTCTGCCACCTAATACTGCAATTCCTGTACAAACCATGTGACCTAAAATGCCACCAATAATAACACCATACACGTCCTAAAAGGATTGTTAATTATCAATGAGCAAATTTTATATTTAAAGTATGTTTAAAACCTCTCTAGCTCCCAAAATAATTGTAGTTAATTGAGAACGGTCGCCCCATTCAGCCAAAAACGTTAGTGTAAAGGCTTGAATGAAAATTCGAGACACTGTTGATAAAATGCCTTGTTTTTTAATACGTTTTCCCCCGGTTTCTGGATCCGGAAGCATAGCTTCTTTTTCATACTAGAAATATTAGGAAATATATTACAATTAATTTATAATTAAGCCTTGAATAAAGAAACCTCCTCTTCCTTTTTCCTTAAATCAGATTGGACTTCCTCTAATTCTTCTTGTGCTCCTGCTGGAGACATATTAATACCTTCTTTTAGCATCTTCAAGCCAAATATAGCAAACAAGGCTGTGCTTATGTAAAATGTATATGCTCTTGGGATAACATTCACCAGCCACCCAAAAAGTGCTAGAAAATAAAAAAAAATGATTCTTGCACTGTGATTTTGTTTATTTGCTTGCATACCAGATAAAACTGTCATCAAAGCCAGAGCTCCGATAGCTCCAGCGAAAACTGTTAATCTGGGATGCTTCATTGCCATAATAGCAGCAATGAAAAATGTCTTATCTCCTATTTCTGAGACCAAGATCACTGATATAGAAGCTAAAAATGCATGAATAAAACCCAAGTTTTCTGTTGGCAATAGACTGGATGAGGAATCTGAAGATTTCTGCAATAAGTTCTCATATTATTAATAAGCATTGTATGATTATTACAAAGACTTACAATTGTAGGATCAATTTTATCCACAGTTTCCTGGACCTCATCTTGCGGTTCAACCTCACACAATATATTTGATACAAAGAAACTTATAATAATGGCAAGCTGTGAAACAGCACACAGTAAATATTTGCTTTTAATCATATTGATATATGTTATAAACAAATGTTATTCTTTTTTTTTTTTTCTTAAAAATATTATAAATGTGTTAATACTTATTACATATTTAACATTACAATTTTTAAATTACAAAACAGTGTTTTTGAATCCTACACGATAAAAAATACTTTTTTAACTAAACGAATTTGCGATATGCGTGCACATGACACGACTACTTGACACAATATTTTTTTTNNNNATTTATTATAGTTTTATTTAACTATAAGCCACAAAATGTAAGTAATACTTTGAGAATATTTTAGATTTCTTATGAGGATATTTCTGTGTTGGTTGTTATGTTGGTATTTCTGATGCCAACGAATTGCTAACTTCATTTATTTACATGATTGACGCTTGTGTTTTCAGAGTCAAGATAAATGTGTAATTCGCTAATTTGCAGTAATTGTTCAAATAATATTAAAAAAGTGTAATAAAATAAGTGAAATTGGAGGATAAGTTCCATAATTAGGAGTCGTGTGATGTCCTGATGGCACTACCAAATAATTACAAGCAAGTCTCGATGTCGATGGCCGGCCCACAGACGCCTAATCGTAAGAATTCACCTAAACTACTATTTATTATTATAAACATGTAACAGACGAATCCGAAGAATCCAGATTGTTATTTTGAAACGGGCCAACTTTGCAAGTTTATTTATATTTGTTATTTAATTGGCTGAGCATGTAAATATGATTTTATCAATACATTTATTAAATATATAACTTTTTCTACTGCTTTAAAAGTTTACAGTGTATTTTGATATATTTCTTCTTAAACCAGTTATTAATGCTTCTATTATTATTGTTATTGATGAGCCCTCTTGAGTAACTTGTGCTGCAGTGATTGTTTCTCTTTTTAGAGATTTTGTTGATATAGTTTTTATTCTATTTATTAAAACAAAAGCATGCAGACCTTTGACTGTATTACAATTATTTCTGTATCTAGTTTGTTGTGGAGGTTATTATATAATTTCTTGAGTAGTCTATTTGCAATTATCAAAATTTGTTTTGGAAAAATATATATAATAACTTTTACAATGAAGTATATATTTTTTTATTTATTATATTTTGAAATCTAGTAGAATTAGTGCAGATGATTTGCTTTGTTTGTGTTTGTTGTTCAGATTTGCTGTTCGCAGGTTCTCCGATGACTTTCAACATATTGAAAGGTAAACGCATTTTACACACTTCTTCCCTACTTAAAACTTACTATTTATTGCTCATTAAAAATCAACAATTAGATCTTCACATTAACACACTATATATACTTTGCTTAATTAAAGATACAATAATGATGAGCTCTTTTCACTTTAACTGCTTTGACATACATTTTGGTTTGAGAATAATAACCAGAATATAAATAAACATTAAAAATTATTTATAACTATGTGGTAAGTCCAATTTATTTTATTTTTCAGCTTTATATTTTTGTTTGATTGTTTGCATGCAATATTGTGTGTACCATATTATGTGTTTTCATGTGAAGCATTCAATGCCATATGTAATGTGCAAATCATATTATTATATCTTTTAATGTTTATATTTTTATTTTATTTCATATGTAGAACGACTTAGGGCATCTGGCAGTTCCAACTCCAATTCAGGGGTATGATACATATTGCATTTCAGTAAATAAAGAAACATAAATTATTGAAAAACAAATTGCAGAAGGAGACAAATCCATTTACTATAACACCAAGTGGTAATCCATCATTTCTACCACAAAAAGTTGGAAAAAATACTACAGTAATTTTAAAGGTTTTTCATTTCATATTTGTATGCTAATATTGAATATATTTTTAGAATGATTCTCGAACGCCAAAGCCACCGAAACCACCAGAAAAACCGCTTATGCCCTATATGAGATACAGCAGAAAAGTATGGGATCAAGTAAAGGCTCAGAATCCAGAGTTGAAGTTATGGGATATTGGAAAAATTATTGGTCAAATGTGGCGAGAGCTCCCAGAATCCGAGAAAAATGATTACGTAGAGGAATACGAATGCGAAAAGGCGGAATATGAAAAATCATTGAAAACTTATCACAATTCTCCAGCTTATTTAGCATATATATCTGCTAAAAACCGAGGTATTTACATTAGAATATTCGAATGTATTATCTTTAATAATCGTTTCTTTATAGCTGCGCAGGGAAATGATGATCGCGATACCCATGAGAGAACTAGAGATTCCGGAAAACAGGCTGCTGATCGGCGAATTGATATTCAGCCGGCGGAAGATGAAGATGGTATATATGAATATATTACATATAATTTCATATCATTATTAACTATTTACTTGTAGATCAAGATGATGGATATTCTGTAAAACATGTGGCCTACGCGAGATACTTACGAAATCATCGTTTAATTAATGAAATATTTTCTGACACGGTTGTTCCCGATGTTAGATCTGTGGTAACAACAGGCCGAATGCAAGTTTTGAAGCGACAGGTACAATCATTAACAATGCATCAGAAAAAGCTTGAAGCTGAATTACAACAAATCGAAGAGAAATTTGAAGCAAAAAAGAGGAAGTTCATAGAGAGCAGTGAACAATTTCAAGAGGAATTAAAAAAGGTATTTAATATTAAAATTAAATACTTTAGCAAACTATATTAACAATTAATTAACAATTTAGCATTGCAAGCCGGCCGTTGATGATGATACTTTCCAAAAGTTAGTCGATAGGCAATACGATTTATTAAGGAAAGAACGGATTAAGAGCCAAGAAGATCAGAAAACTAAAACTGAGGAACCTAGTACAAATGGAAATGAGACACCAGAGCCTAGCAATTCGAATAACACCAATAAAAATGGAACGGAAGAAAATCAGTCAACTGAAGTAAACAATTATATTTAATATGTACTTAAATATTAAAACATTATTCTCGTAGCCTGAAGTGCCCGAGGAGAAAGCGCCTCAAGAAGTTGTGAAGAAGGATTCTCCGCAACCTCAAGTGCCAGTGGCGAATGGAAGTTTTCCATCTGAAGAGAAACCTCCTGTTGAAGCTGAACCATCACCTCCAGTTTCTACTCCTCAATCGAACCAATCACCCACGCAGACACCTCCAGCAAATCCTCCACCTCCGACGGCAAACCATATGACGCCACACATACCTATTCCACAACATCTGCATGGTCCGCCACCTCCTAACACAGGAACTCCACCGTCACCGATGATGCCGCCTGCTCAATATCCTTACCAACAGTATGGACAAGGCAGTCCGCAGTCTGTTCCACTGCCACCGCGTCCTCCTCATCCTTCATATCCATCGTATCCTCAGCAGCAAGGATATCATCAGGGTCCCTATCCTCAGTATCCACCACCACCACCTCATGCTTACTATAATCAACCGTACCCACAATATCCGCCGCATCTTGCGTCAGGTATGAGGCATCCGCATCCATATCCACCATCTCATGGAGCACCGTCACCGGCTGGCGATAATCAAGATGGTCATCCTCCATCCATGTACGGACCCACGGCCGTGCCTTCAACTCCGACAACGGACGACAGATCTTCACAAGAATCTTCTGATAACAATACACCAGCTGATAATTCACCATCCGATGATAAACACGGTTTGTAAAGGAACGCATAGTTATTAATGAGTCGTAATAACATGAGTGTTTTGTTTTCAGAAAAAATGGAGACTGACAGTGCGGATAAAGATAAAAAGGATAATTAAAATAGCATTTCTTAACCCTTTGTGTATAGTTATCCTAATAATCTGAACAAAATATTTTTGTTCTATTACAATAGAAAGGGTTAGATATTCATGTTTTCACTTATACGTTCTTTTTTCTGTTTGTATAATACAATTATTTTCTTTTGTATGAAGAGCAAAAGAGGTTTTATATTAAAAATATACGAGGGTACTGTTTTGGTCTATCTTTACAATACATTACCTAATTTATTTTCATAACATTTTATATATTTCATGCTTTTAATTTTCAATTATTTATTAATATATATCCGCCGACCGGTATTGGTATTTTAAGCCAATAATTTTGCTGATGATGTTTATTATTTTAATGTTATAATTTTGTTATAATCAATTGCAGTTTAACATACTCAATTACAAAACAAATTGCTTAATATTTTCTTTTTAAATTCACAAGGATTAAAGATTTTTAGTTATAATTTTGTATTCATTATTTTACTAAACCTTCGATCAACCAATAAGCAGAATAATTCATAAAAATTACTACAAACAATTATCTATTTAACATTCTATAGAATTTTTTTGGTCCTGGGGCCTCTAGGCACGTACCTTATTGCCTTAATGGATAATCCGCCTGTGCTCATACAGATATTTAACAACCAATGTAAATAAAAGTTTTATCTTTACTCGTGTAAGTTTGATAGTGACAGAAAACTAATGTTTGAATAAAAATATTATTGATACGGGATTTTGAATATTGTAAGCACAAAGTTATATTTTTTATACTTTATAAATGTAGAGCTTCAAGATGAAAATTTTTAGAATCGCTGCGATGTTAAAAACAGTTTCTCTGGACCAATTTTTTAATCAGTAATTTCTTATCCGTTATGTCTATGGTTTCAAGTAATTTATTAATAATCTAATTGATTAATTCTACTAATTATAACGTTACATAACATATTGAATAGTAGAATGTTATTGACTAATTTTAAAATGGCTGTTTTAATAATTCCTGTTAGATGTTCCATAATAGCTTTCAACTCCACTCTAATTATTGTTACTGATAAAGACATAGTGATTGCGCCATTTGTCTTTTCTTCATATCATGTGGCAGGCCCGACGTTGGGAAAATAAACATTGTGTAAAAATTTATTATACAATAATTAGGTATAGAGATTCCGATAAAGCTTGTTTCGCAAAGTACAAATTACTTGGAATGTTAGTTTGGTTCATATACTGAGTGCCGGCTTATCACGCTACAAAATAAATATTGAATTAAATGGTGATGCTTGCAAAGGTCAATATTAAGTATTGAATTAGGTGCATTGTTTCATGCAGTTTAAGCATTCAAGATACACTCACTATAACCATTCAATGATATTTGATAGTAGTATGAATAATTGTAATATTATTGATTGCACCAAAAAGTACAGCTGGTTGCATTATCGTTTACGGTGTAGTGTTGCATACAGTTTAGGGGTATCGAGTCTGGAGCAAAACCAACTGATAAGTCTGTCAAGGATAATTGATTAGATTCGTTGGTGATTAATCAATCCTAGCCGTCTGATATCGGCGCCCCACGTTGCCAAATACACCCATCTCTCGATTTGCTGCACGTGCCATAAAACACTATACTTTTTGTTGTTGTTTTCCTTTCTTGTTTGTTTGTTCGAGGTGTTCCTCTCTTTCCCGACGATGGAGGGCAGCGTTCGAATGAGTGTGTAATGAGGTCAAACGTGAATGTAACTGTTTCGGGTGCGTCGGGCCCAGTGTGCAAGTTGGTGGAGGAAGCATAGTAGTGTGAATGGTTAGTTTGGTTTAGTTGGAGCCTGGCAAAGCGAAGTTCAGCGTGTACAGGAAGAGTGAATGGGTGAACGTTTGAGATTGAATGGATATGTTCATGGATCGGCGAAGAAGTTGAGAGTACAGAGACATAGACTACAATTTAATAAGTCTCCAACTGCCAGTTATTCAACAGCTGCTCTTCTGCCGCCTCTCTTAATCGATATTTAAATAGATAGAGTGTGTGTGCGTGCGGTGCAAGCGGGGGCGGGTGCGGAACGTATCCTTAATTGTATTGGACGAGCAGCGGGAGCAAAGGAGACGGAGAGGGAGTGGAGTGAGTGCGAGCAACAGCGGAGAGAAGGAAGAAGAAGAAGGACGCGGCTGAAAACATTCAATTAACAATGGTTTAATTAAAAACCGCGGTCCGGGCGTATTTAGTTTTATCTTCAGTCTTGAAGAAGGATTGCACTCCTGCAACATCGCTTATCCTCCTCCTAGCCGACTAGTATTCTTGCTGTTGGGTGCGTGAGCTGTGTGTGTGCGTCGCTCATTTTAATCGTCACTTTTTGATAACAACAATATACTGCGGCGGCGGCGACAACAACGGTCAAAATATCGTACTGTGCGGCAGTTGTTTGTTTTGCATGTATGCTTTCTCGTGCGGGGGAGTGCAGAATAACGGTGTGCATCAAGGTAAAAAGAGGTTCGCGGCGGATCGGCGTCTTTTAAGGTTATGTGCTGAATGCGAAAAACGGCACAAACAAAACGGCGAGACTCGAAGGAGGGTTGCTTCAGCTGAGGGCGAGAGCGGAGCCCCCTGCAATCATGAGCAGTTGGGCGGCAAGGATGCACCGAAGGGCGGCCACCTTCGGAAACGTCGTTACCTCTTGCGGTCATCCCTCAGGCCCCTATCCACGTCGTCTGGACAAAGTCAAATTCGGGGTTCCACTCGATGAGGTCTGCAAGAACGACATCCCAGGACCACTGCTAGTAAGGAAAACATATTTCATACAAATCTGACCACTACAACCCATCTTTCAACCATATACCTGTTCCAATTCCAAACTCTAAAGTACCCCCAATAAATCTCATAAACTTGCACTTTACAATACTTGACTTGAAACCACTTGTTAAGAACTTTATAACTGTAATAACAACTATATAGAATAACTTTTTAGCCTACAAAGTTGAGATTTTTAAAATAAAATAATGTTTCCTAAATGTTTTAAGCCTATTCGTCTCAAAGCGAATAATACGAGTAGAATTTGCGACATACATTTTTTAATTTTCGAACTATATAAATCAATGAATGACATTCATTCAAATGTAATTTGCATTTTCAATTGATTATCAAAATATTTACTTAAAATATGGTGATTACGGAGTTCCGTATACTTGAATTTGCATAAAGATAAATTAAGTAATGAGCTGTTAGGACTACCCAAAACATTACCCTATAATATAAATACATTACCAAATGAAAATCCGGGAAGTGCATTTAAAATGTTAAGTGTATTATTTTAATGAATTGTTGATTGTTTCCATTCACAATCAGCAAGTTAATAAATAATTATAAAACTTTAATTAGAGCTATAATGCTTTAGATTACATTTATATTTCATTTACATGAAATTTAATACATTAGCCAAATCACTATTAGTGATTAACATTTCAGTTAATAACAATTAGATTTAATTTAACTAATTAATATACATTTATTTATTTTAGTCATTAACTTAAAAAGAGTTTTGCTAAAATTTCATAAATTTAAATATTTGTAAGTATGTTTTTATAACATTACTATCGAATGTAATTAATTTTAGTATTTAAGTGATTAATTATGGATGTTTTTATTTGTTTTGGAAACTATTAGGTAAAATAATTATTCAAATATCAAAATAAGTATGTTTATCTTATGTAAATCACCATTTATGCAAACAAGAATGAAAGTAGTGTCTTAAATAAGTTGTTAATATGAAAATATTGTAACCCTTTTACTATTGATTAAAACAAATATTGTTTCTAGATACATAGGATTAGCAAATCTCCTTTTAATTATTCAATCATTGTCATTGTATTCACAGTTGTTTCAAAGTTATCATTACATCCGGAAAGATATTCAGTTCTCTGAATTTTAATAAGGGTTATTTTCAATATTTACTATTTACTTGAGACTTAAGCGATACAAAATTAACGAGCTATTAAAGGCGATATGCCGCCAGTTTCATGCACCGTATCTAATCTAAAGTATTCATTTTCATTAAACAAATAATTTTCCAATAATTACGTTTTCAATTAAGTTAATAATTGCGGTGTAGAAACCGTGTGCATTGCGATGAGACATGCACGTATTATCAATACACAATGTTTAACAAATATGTACTTGAAATTTGAGTCAGAGTACAGCCCACACTTTTACCTACAATTTGTTTAAACTTCATAAGGTAAGGTCAGTGATAGCGTTTTAAATTCATTTTGAAATGGAATATGTATAAATTGAAAATGATGTTTTTTTATTCCTATTCGTAAAAAATATTTAAAAAATATAGTGCATTTTTATATTGAAATGTTTCTCCTTGGAATAGGTGTTTATTATATATAATTTCTAGTTTATAATAACTAGAAAAAAACACTTATATAATAATCTCGTTAATCAGAAACGTCAAAGTTTATAGTCATAATTATCTTGGTAGTGAGTGATTAAAGTATTTAAGTATAATGTTTTTAATAACATATTATTTCCACTAATATTATAGTTAACGTTTGATAAGGCATGCATGATGGTTTACGCAACTTTTATCGCTATGTTTCGTTTTAATAACATACAATTGAATGCAATGTATGTAGCAGCATAAATATACGTTAATCTAAATATTTCATCAATGCGCTTTCTTTTTTAATTAATTAATTACAATCATGTCTTAATCATTCTTCATCAGTAGTAATGTTTTTTTCTGTTTTCATCATAGTTACTTACAATATGAAAAAAAAAACGAAATAATAGAGAAGAAATACTTTGATTTGAAAAGCAAGAATATTCCATGCACGCAATCAGCGTTTCGTAATGCATGAATGTGCGTTGCGTGTTTCCGTAATACGACAAAAACTCGCTTAGTAAAATTATGTTGCTATATACATTTAATATGTTTAGTTTATTAAGCGTTACGAAATACTTTTCAACAGTTGTTCCTTGTCAGAACTTGTCTCAGTAATTGAATACGATATCTGTGTTGTTTTTTTTTTGTTAAAGTTGTATCATCATAGCTTGATTCACTTTAATATTAAAAATATAGAGAAATTCTATACAACGAATTCAGCGTATAGAAAATTAATCACACGTACCGAAATATTACTTATCTCTTTTAGTATAAATGTATGAATTTACGTCCTTCTTGTTCAGTAATAAAAGGTCAATGCCTTTTATTTTACATTGTTTAAGTCGTGGTATATGTATGCCCATTGTTTGTGACTACTGTGTTTTATTATGCTTGAAAATAACATCCTAACATACATGGTTGATATATAATAAGTGTTACTTATTATGTGTTTAATTCGTTTGCTTTGCAGAAATATATAGAACGAATAACGTGTTATATAATATTCTGAAAACCGCGTGGTACTGGAAAATGAATGTTAAGTATGTTGGGGACATTGCAAAACGAGCGCAGTACTTTTATTATTATGAATCGAAGTATGTGTTACGTGATAAATAGTAGTAGCAAAGAATGCATAATCTATTTTTAAAAGCACGCTTGTTTATGAATTGAATATTCATGTGCGAGTGTGTTTTGTTAATTTTGAGGCCGACAGGTAATGCTGTTGTGATGCAATTACAATGCAAGAAGAAATGGAAAATACGATGTGTACAAAAATATTACGGCCTGACGAAACTTGGGTAGCGGCGGCTTGCGTTTCCTGCTTCTGCGAGTGCATGGACTGGAAACATTTAGAATGATTGCTATTACATTGTGCATTGGCATGAATTTTATGGTTTCTCGACTTTCTAAATAAATTTGTTAATTTATAACATCATTTCGGCTTGCTTTTTGCAATCTCGCCGCATCCGATTTAGAAGCTCAAACAAACCAGAACAATATCTAATCTCTATCCTAATGATTTTATAGTACTCGGATGATTGTTTTGTAATAAATTTGTTTTACATCATTCCTTGATCGTATTTATTCGTTCATGCTCTGAGAAACAAACAAAAATGAATCACGTGAAATATGAAATGTTTATTCAATGCCCGCAAAGGATATTTATGATTGATACCTATTTTGACTTAGTCAGGCATGCTATATGCATGCCAGTGCACAACAATTTTTATTATTGTGGTTTTGTTTGTTTACTGCTCTGCACATATTTTTGTTGTGCGTTACCAGAATATTAATTTGCAATATTATCATTATCCCTCCCCACCCCTCTGACTCAAATAAGTACACAATATTTGTGTTTCTTCGAAATGACACCTGATAATAATTCAACACTGATTGCAAGGATATATAAAGTATTTGTTTTTGATTTCTGTTGTCTTCTTTTTAAGGTATTAATATTGAAGCTGAATAAGGAAGCGCCGTACCGGAAGGACGTGTTTCGGGCACCCGGAAATCAAGGGGCCATGAAGAAGTTGACACACTTTCTGCAAACTGGACGGTTGATAAATATGGATAATTTTAGTGTGTACACTATTGCCAGTGTTCTGAAGAAGTTCCTCCGCAAAATTCCCGGCGGAGTTTTTGGCAAAGACATTGAGAATCGCTTTTTCGAAATCATTACTATGACAGACATACAGCAACAGCGCGACGAAATTCACAGGTATGGTATACTTCTTATTGAATACACCTTTGCAATTATGTAGAATATGCAAGTATGGTGAATAACATATTTATTTTTATTCGTTTTTAGGATAATAGCTTCTCTTCCTGATTATACGCAAAAGTTACTCGTTCTGCTTTTTGGGACGTTTCGAGTGATATCCGCAAATTCCGAGCGAGCTGGTACAGGAATGACGAGCGAAGCTCTAGGCGTAAGCGTAGCTCCAAGCTTCTTCCACACTTGCGTCAGCGATGGTAAAAATGCCAAGATGGAAGATGTAATGAGATTTAAGGTAATATACACTCAATGTATTTACACTTTTGCATGCAAACATTACATTGAAAGAAAACAATACGAAAACCATACACATTTACATGCGCAAAGAGCTTTTTATACAATTTACATACAAAGTTAGCTGTACAATGCTTTTTATTCTCTATTCCTCTTTCTGCAAACACGCAGGCTGAAGTTAATGTAAGTAATTTTAATAATTTACATAATTACTTGATTTAGTTTAACAAAAATATAAGCTCAGAGACTTTATGTTAGGCAATTCCACATACGTCAGAGTAAGGTGGTAAAACCGATATCAGAATTGCTTAGTTTAGTGCAGTGGTCCTCAACTTCGGTTGATTGCATCCCGGGGTTTCCATAAAATGAAATAATTTTAAATTTTCTGTAATGATAAAACTTTCTTCTCTATGAAAGTTTTTTTTAATTATACAATTATTTTTGGAATGATGAAATATTACAAATACTCTGAATAAAATAATTAAATCGATTTTAAATTTGCGAAATATAATGAACTGTATGTTGTTTTCTTTTGTTTAATCTTTTGTAAATTTGAGTATTTTATAATTAATTGAATCGTAGCTATAGGAAAGTCGGTTTTGCAGCCCACGAGGGGTGCATACACCGCAGTTTAAGGACCATCTGGTTAGAATATAATGATAGGACATAGTTTTATTCTTTTCATTTTGTTAGTAGATTTTTGCAATTTTTGTTTTTCTGTTTTGGTGTGGTGTGTGTGTTGCGCTCATGTAGGTAGCGACTAGGGTGATGAAGCATCTGATTGAGGAGTTTGCGACGTCCGACCTCTTCGGCCGGGAAAATTACGAATTTTATGCACGTGTCACGGGCCGCGTGCTGCGCGTACAAGGCGAATGGATCTGCTCCTTCCAATATCCTCCAGCCCCCGCATCGGAGGGTGGAAAAGCTCAGGTTTTCGGCAATCAGTTCGGACCGCTTGATCAGTATTTATTGGGTACGTATCACAAATAGTTTTCACTCAGTCTCACGCCATATCTTCTTTTCTATATATATATATCTATTTATAATTTGTGTGATACCACAATTGACTGACTGATTTTCTTAGGATTCTCCATGGAAGTCGAGAAAACATGGTTACAATGTGAATGCGACAGGTGGCGTTCCAAATACAGTCTTGAAGGTAATAATAGAGAACCCATTGAGTTGTAGTATTTTCTTCTTTTTGCATACTAAAAATATGAAACGATATAATTCCATTTATTACTTTTTTTAGTATTTTTTTTTTGTTTGTTTAATGTTTTTTTTTATAATTATTGTAGTATTATTTAAATATACAC